ACAGAACTTGCAAACCGCATCATGGGATGTATCAGTCATCCAGACCTAGCTACATCAGCGTGTTATCCCAAAAATTGTTGATTATTTTGGACAAACTTTTGAAAACAAAATAGTTCAGAATCAAACACTTACTTGAAAAACTTGTTTTTCTTCATCATAGGACTAGTGACTGTTCTGATGTACCTATAAAAATGAAAATGCTAAGGAAAAAAATTGACTTTTATGTTTTGTTAACCTTCTTGAAAGGATCCATAAATCATCCAGATCAAACCACATCATCAAAGTTGTTTCACAAACTGCAGACTTTTGGACATATTTATGAAAATAGGTTTGTTTACCATCAAAATCATGTTTAATTTAGTTTCTATCTTTTTTAGCCAGCTGCATTGTCAGGTTATCTTGGATGTTATATGAAAAGAAAAGTTGTTCAGGTTAAAAAAAAAACAGGTAAAAAAGGTTAACTTTCATGAAAAATTGTCGGATTCATTTATGTCAAACTACGTAATATTATATGTTTGTTCTGTGCGTATGTGATGTATCTAATTTTGTGTGTGTGTGTAAATGCATTCTAGTAATTTTGTACGGAAGTATGATAGAAAGAATGTGCCCACCGAGCTTTGCTAAGTGAACCATTATCAGACATCTGAACATAACTATAACTCACTCAAGTTTTTTTCGTGGTTTTTCTGAAGTAAATCGTCAGTTTTTTTTACATAACATTAAGATAAAAAAAAAACGAAGTGGAAAATTTGCAGCAGAAAATAGAGGCACTCAGCTGCCCTGATGTGGGAGAAAAGACAAGGATTTTCTGGAGCGAAAAATTCGAAGGCTTACCTTTTCGTCGGTACCTCTCAGGTTGTTTCTTGAGTCGTTCAGGAAAGTTGTTTCCTGCAACGCATCGCTGCAAGTTCGGCAGTTCCAAAAAAACGAAGTGTTTAAGAAGCATGTGACGGGCCCCAGATGGAGATCGAGCATTTTTTCAACGATGGTTCTCGTTGGGGGAGTCTCGTGGAGGAGTACCCAGTAGCAGCCGATTTCTGCTAAGTTTCTGGGGGCAAAGAGTTAGTGGTGACTCCCTGATGCGCTCCTCTGTCTGAGTCGACAACACTTCCCGGCGCGGAAGCGGCCGATAGACAATAAGCTTGTGACTTATTGTTTTCCTTCATCTAGTCTGACTAACCAAGTAACCCCAAACGTTTACATCTCAAAGTTTTTGAACAAGTTCGAATTAGCTGTTTATGTTGTATTCATTTGGTTTTTTTATTAAGTTATCTGAAACTAATTGAGAAACAAACAAGGAAGACAAATAAGAAATACTATCTTGTCATACTTTGAAGCAACCGAGAGTGCAAAAAAAAAGAATTTGCCATGAAACTGATCTCTAGTTTGAACAATCATGAGTGAAAAACTCATATCGACATGTGTTTTAAAACAGGCACTGTATATTTGTAGATATAACCTATCTAAATTCTTTTTAAAACTCCATCACTTTTTTGAGGCAAACTCATTTTGTTTTCCATTTGATTGTCAATAGCAACGATTCAGTCATGTATAATTGGTTACAGAAGCTGTCATTTTCGCTGAATTTTAGAGTTGTTGAAAACACATGAAAACACTCTTCAATAATCGAAAAATACCTAGCCCAATTGATGTCAAAGTTAACATTTTTTCCGAACTTGGTTCACGAATTTTTTCTTATGTGAAATGAATTCATAAAAACAAACCGTTTCCAAGCTTATTTTCTATGTATTTAGCACAATGCAGTGGTGGCTATCTGATGCGCTCCCTTGTCTGTGTGGACATTATTTTCGGCGAGGAAAGGTCTCTATAGCCAATGCTTTTGTTTAAAGTGTAGTTTTCTTTTACCTAGCGTTACTATCAAATAACTAAAACTCTCTATACCTTAAAGTTATTGGACAAGTTTAAAAATATTGCTAACGTTAGACTCGAATGGTTTTTGTTATCAGATATTCCAGAGTTGATTGAGAAAAAAGCAATGAACACACTTATAGGCAGTAATCTTTCGAATGAATTGAGAATGAAACAAAATTGTCATGAAACTGATCTCTAGTTTGAACAATCATGAGTGAAAAACTCAAATCGACATGTGTTTTAAAACAGGCACTGTGTATTTGTAGATATAACCCATCTAAACTTTTTTAAACCTCCGTCACTTTTTTGAGGCAAACTCATTTTGTTTTCCATTTGATTGTCAATAGCAAGGATTCAGTCATGTATAATTGGTTACAGAAGCTGTCACTTTCGCTGAAATTTAGAGTTTTTGAAAACAAATGAAAACACTCTTCAATTTTCCTAGGCTAATAAAAAAATACCTAGCCCAATTGATGTCAACATTTTGTTCCGAACTTGGTTCACAAATTTTTTATTATGTGAAATGAATTCATATAAGCAAACTGTTTCCAAGCTTATTTCTTAACTCCAGGATTAACTCCAGGAAGAAAAGATTAACTCCAGGCCGTAAACTTGGAACGGTCGTATGAGTGCAGATTATGCTATTTACATACAGCCGGATAGTTGTGACTATTGTTTGAAACTTTCCTATAATGACTTTCAGTTGTCAAGTAAAAAAGGAGACAATTAGAAATTTTACATAATGACTATTGCTCATCAGTTATTACATGGTGACCATTACGATTCATACAGAATGGACATCCATGGATGACAGCCCACCCTCAACCATCATAGTGTATGAAATGCATAGTACTCTTTCAAATAAACTGGAAGATTCCCACGGTTCGTGAAAAACTTGCATTTGCTGAAAAAAAAACTTGTACTTTATGGACAAATTTCACCGAGAAAGAAATGAAAAAATATATATTTTATCTCTAATGATTTGAAAGCTTCATAATACATTGCTAGATACTAATTGCATCTCATTGTAATGTTACAGAAAGGAAAGTTTTCAAAACAAACGTTACGAGGCCAAATTGTGCACTGAATCAGCGAACAATTTGTTGTTTGTATGTCTCTGGAATCCAGAGACAAGTCGTTCAACATGTTAAGAAATTTCAGAACGATCAAAGCAAATGGAGCAACAAAAGAAAAACAAAAACAAAGGCGGCATCCCTGTTGCGGAAAAAGTTTCAGTTTCCAGCAAAAACACAGTTTGGTTTTGTAAGGAAGTTATATTCAAACTTTAAACTTCTCAAAACAATTTTTTATCAGAATTACTCTTTCGGGAGAGTCGGAACGCTTTAACTGATACAAGCAGTCTTTTTCATATATTAAATCATTTTTTTAAGAAAGACTGCTATTTAAAGGATAATACAACAGAGAGGCGAAGCTGAGCTTCGCATCACTTGCGATCAATACAAACATAAAAAATCAATAGAAGTACAAAAACGAAAAATGTCTACATCTAGTAAAAACTTCGTATGTCTCGATATACTTTCAATCTTGGCAAACATGCCAAGCAAAACATTCGAATTTTAATTTACCAGCGGAACAAAGTTGACGAAGCGGAAAAAAGCCGTACATTTTTGAGTAGACTTCAGTTGAGCCGAAAAAAAAACTGATTGTGTAAATAAATTAGTCCCCTAGAAAGACAAGGAACAACACTTGCATTTATAATGAACATGGTCAACTGACAGTTGGAAAAAAGATATGACGGCAAAAAAAAGAAACTGACTTGTTTTTTGAAAAAATCTCAACCTTCGATTTAAAGAAAAAAAGATGATCCTAAGCCTTTTTGATTTTCTAAAACAATTTATAATTCAAATTTTTTCAAAATGAAAATAGTCCAATTATAGAAAACTGGATCAATAGGTTGAGTTTTTATGTGGCTGGCAAATCTGGATAATAAATTCAACTTTCGAAACAAGAAGTCGATCACGTTTTTCGAGACCTTTACACTTTTGTAATGGCAGAGTGAAATTTAGCTCAATTTCAGCAGATAACTTTAAAATGAACTCAACAAGTGCACATACACCTAAGGGCATTCATAAATGCATCAATATGAATGAATGCACATCTGTAGTTATAAGAGACTTTTAAGACTTTTCCTGAAAAAAGCAAACAAAAAAATTGTTAAGTTTTATGAATGCACATCTGTAATTATTGGAGAGTTTTAGGACTTCTTCCTCGGAAAAAATACACTAAAATAAATCACCAAGACATACATAGAGTCTTAACTAAGTTCATCGACTCTTAAAAATTCCGAATGCACTCTAGGATACTTTTAGTCGATTTTCAGACAAAAGAAAAACAAGAAAAAAATTGAAAAACTGAAAAATTTCGTTTTCATTATGTTGACAAATTTTCCCACTCACGCAAGGTTTTTCTTCTTCAGACTCCAGACTTTTTGAAGTTAAAAAAAGTTATGACCAGAACTTTTTTGATAAAGCTAATCCATTTTGAGAAAATTAGATCATTGGGTTAAGTTTTTATACCGCTGGGACATCTGAAAATCAAATTCCATGTTCAAAAATAAAAATAGATCACGTTTTTCGATGACGTTTAGAAGTCAATCACGTTAAATACTAAAGTTTGCCTTCCTTTTAACACAGGAAATGAACTGAACTTAAACAGAAACCAAAAATCAAACCGCGAAAAAGTAAAGTTGAGCCTGAACAAATTCTAAGACTTTTTCCTGAAAAAAAAAACATGTCATCGCGACCTATAAAAGAGTCTGAACTACGTTTATCGAATTATAAAAACTGGCATGGTCTCAGATTCGAACGCTTGGTCCTTCGTGACATAGCCCCGCTCCTTGCCACCTCAATACTTGACCCACATTTTCATGAAAACTACCTTCACTAATAAAGCAAACTATCAAATGATTCAAGTGATTCTGTTTAACTAGTTGTTAACTAGACAAAAGTCTATATTCCAGCTTGATACTGCTTGCTTATCGCAATCGTATATAGGCGTTATCAATCATTAACGGTTGAAGCTGGACGAGGGTACGAACTGTAATCGAAAAAGAGGATATTTCTAGTACAAGTTACGCACAAAAACGACAAAAAGTATTGATGTTTTAGGCCTCCATTGAAGCAGCTTCACCGGTCAATTCTGCTAATAGATGAATTATACATGACTTCTTCAAGTTATTTCTCGAAGCGAGATCAGCTTCTGTTGCCAGTATACCTCCAATTTCTGCCACACGTCCAGCAGTTCTTCATCACAAATGTGATCGCCGGTCAGATGCACAAACGTCAAGGTCTGACACAAATTGTTTTACCACATGGTTGTGTTTATGAACCCCTGAATATCCTTTTTCGCAGTTCACATCACATAAGCGCCTTTTCAACAACTTTCATTCACACAACCAAGTTAGTAACTAGGACCAGTGCAAGGGTCTCGGGTTGCTTCACCTCGCCGCAACCTGAAGTAACGCCTCACTACTTCTTACAGCGCGATGATCCAATTTTCTCGGCGGACCCAACACTTATGAACCCATGTTTTGCATCGGATCGCCGCGCAATCATTTTCAGTCATGACAAGACTTTTTGGACGGAAAAATTCGCAAACGAACGTAGTGATATCTCACATGTTTCAGTGGTACCCCCAGTTATCGACTTTTACAAAACCCCTTACACAGGCTGCGAAGCTCTTTCAGTGCTGGTTATTGTTGACCATATGCTAGAAGCGAAACATGATACCGAAATGTTTATCATTTTAAATCTGGCCATAACCAGAGCCCAGTTTGAGGTCATGATAATTGTGAAAGAAAAGTACAGGAACAGGATGGAGAAATTCATCCGGATACCATCAAGACTAGATAGGATTTTAATGCATGCGGGGAACCAACTGCCGGTGGACTTGACTTTTCTGAAGACTGTTGAGTGGACCAAGGATATGACCTCATTTGTGCAGAAGTTGACCCGGATTGCAATTCAGAGGTCAGACGAGCGTCTTTTGGGGTCTATTCTTGACAAAGTGCCCGCATTCAGAATACCATTAGGCAGGCCAAGTTTAATCAATCATTCACCAAGCAATCAAGCACTACCAAAAATTCAAGAGTTTTTAGATAAAGACAAAAAATGTTCGCTCAAAATTAGATCAATTTTTTTTTCACCTCAAGTTTCCGGAAATTCTTAACATAGCTAACAGGCAGTTGAAAAAGAATCAGCGAACGCAGTTAAATGCAAAAAAAGGACAATTTTTTTTTTTAAATCTCAGAAAAAAAGAAGCTTTTACGGCTTTTTGAAATTCGATAACAGTTATGATTGGAACTTTTTCGATTTAATTGACCCAATTAAAAAAAAATTGGGTCAATAGGTAAATATTTTAATCTCGCGGAAATCTGAAAATTTAATTCCACTTTCGAAACTAGAAGTTGTTCACGTTTTTAAGGATCTTTACACTTTCGCTGTTCGATAGTGGAGTTGCCTTCTTTTTAGCCAAGGATATGAACTGAACTTAAAAAAAACCCCAAGTCAAATCGCGAAAAAGTGAACTGAGCCTGAACAAATTTTAAGACTTTTCCTGAAAAAAAAATCATCGCGACCTTTAAAAGAGTCTGAGTAAAATACCTGAAGTTGCAAAACTCTGAGACCTTTCTCCTTCCCTCAAACTTCTCGGCATTTTTGATAATTCTCAAAAAAAACACCTGTGGCTTAAGTATTTAAGGACAACCCTTAAAGTAATTAAGTATTTAAGGACAACCCTCTCAAAAAAATTGCAAATGATCCCCTGTACCAGTGGCTGATCTATGATTTACTCGAGGGGAGATTTTAAAAAAAATTGAAATTATGACGACCATTTTTCAGGTCGACCAAATATGTTTTCCGAGCTTTTTTATAGCACCATTAAAAACCTTACTTTGGCAAAACTTTCTGTGCCGCAGGCAAAATTTTGAAAAAAAAACGGCAGAAAGCTGATTTTAGGCAATTTTTAGAAAACTTTGATTTAAAAATCGCGTTTTTATCTCGCGCGCTCCTCCGTCAAAATTAGTATATATTGACGCCCAAGGTGCCTTCAGAAAATTTAAGGGTCGTTCAGCAAAAAATGGATGCCTTAAAATAGTACCAACGAGGGAACCCTTTGGTTGGCCACGCAGTCGAATTCCTAACGGAGAGTCCGCCCCTGCACCCACTCCATAAATTCGCTACTGCCCTGTACCAAAACAATTAGTTCTGGCGGAGCGTTTATATTTGCATACAATAGCAAAAGGCAAGGAAAAAGAAAGGACAAAAACCGAAAAAAAAACGAAGTATGATACAAAATAAACCTTTTGATTAAACTTGGCCTGCGGGGGCTGCATGACATGCAGATACGATACTAGGTGCATTAGATGAGCCCAAACCAGCAAAGTTTCTGGACTTCATCAGCAAGAGACTTGGCAGCCAGATAAGAAGTCGGGTTAACTGGAGTCTTATTCTCCAGCGAGCCGCTCCGAGGATCTACAGATCTCTGGGACTATTCAATGTAACAGGTGGGAACAGAAGCTTAATTTTCTCTAGTTGAGTAAGCCCAAGCTTAACCCTAAGAATTTTAATTATTTTAACTAAGCTATGACCAGGAAAATAAAAAAACTCATCTGAAAAAAATTAAAGACTAAGAAAAAAAGTTATCAAGTCCCCCTCACCCACAAAGCACATACACAGCACGTGAAACGACGCAATATGACACGACTAAGCTGATGTAAAATAGGCTGCAATCTATCAAGCCTAAAAAAAGAAAAAACAAAAAAAGTGTCGAAAAAAATCAAAAATTTTAAAGACTAATATGAAGTTATTAAGTCCCTCTCACACTCAAAACACAGACAGGCAAACACAAAAATTTTCGCCACTCGAAAGGCTCAATATGCGACTATTGAACCGATTTAAGGTTGGCCAAAACTTATCAAGCCGAACAAAAATGTTATCCTGAAAAACTTGAAATATAATTTCTATTATGAGTTTTAGCATTTTGCGCAATCCAGAAGTGAGCATAAAATTATGTTTTTTTTTTCAAACTACTCAAAATTAGGCCACTTAGCCGATATAGAATGGACCGAAGCCTATTAAGCCGAAAATAGGACACAAAAATTTATCAAATCCAGTTGGAAAAATCACAACCAACATAAAAAGCAAAATTTGAAAAGGACGGATAATTAAAATAAAATGCTCAACCGTACTTAATCTTTGCAACCGAGAGTAGGAGAGAAGTAGAATTAGCAAAGTGGACAAAAATATCTGAACAGAAACCTTTCATATTGACAAAAAAATCAAAAAAAAATTATGTCTTTTTTCTTCTCAGAGCACACGCGTGCACACAAATTTTTTTCGATCCCCGAGCGACGCAATAAGAGATCACTAGGTCAATATAATTTAAGCCGAAACTTATAAACCCGATTTCACCGGATTTTTAAAATACTAAAACACTTGAAACAATTGTAAGGGAAACTTTTTAGACCAAAAGGAAAGATTCTTAGATCTGGCAACTAAGCCGACGAAACAAGAGCAGACAAAAAATAGGCCAAATTTTTTTTAAACCAGAATATTTACCGTTAATAAAAAAAAACAGGTCCTAGTCAGATTCGAAACCTTTGGAATCCCAGGCGTATTCGTTACCTCCAGGCTAAGTATGCAGGAGACACTGAGAAATTTGAATTGACTATTAACTAAGGTACCACCAGTCCCGATGTGTCTTGTGGACAAAGTTATTTACAGGAAAAAAGTCTAGTACCCGATTGCAATACCCTTGCTTATCGCAAGGATAAAAAGAATAAAAACGCCAAAAAAAATTGATTGTAAATTTTTGAACAGTTGAATTTTTGAGCTTAAAAAATTTGGAATAAAAAATGTATCAGGTTAGAGATCTATGCATTTGAAAAAAAAATGTGATTAACACTTTTTTTGGTAAATTAACTCAATTGGAGAAAACTTTCAATGAGAAGAATTTTTATTCCGCTGGAAAAACTCATAATTAAAACCCACTTTCCAAATAAAAAATTGCCGTTTGTTTTTGACTTAACCTTTTTGCTGTTCGGTAGTTGAGTTTGCCTTCTTTTTAACAACGAAATGAAGTGAACTTTAAAATGAAATCAAAAGTCAAACCGCGAAAATTTAAATTTGAGCGTGAACATATTTTAAAGACTTTTTCTGAAAAAAGAGACCAAAAAATTACCACGACCTGTATAAAGTCTTCACTGTCCATCGACTCTTAATAAACAAAATGTAACAAGACCTATATACGTGAAAATCGCTTTGATCTTTTACATATATAACTCCGAGACCAGGGCTTTTTTCTACTTTGTGGTCAGAACCGTAAAATTTTTTGGTGTCTGATTATTTTAGGGCCAATGGAAATGGGAATTATTGCTGGATTCTTGTCTCTGATGACTTGGTTTTTGGAAATGGTGGGCAAAAATACCTCGCTGCTTATCGCCAAGCTATCTGGCAAGCTTTTATTCAGCGCATATTACAACGGCTCTATAGAAGTTATCAATTGGACTATAAAGTTTTTATCTCAATTCGAGGACTTAAACCTGGTTGAGAAAGAAGTTCGCGGTACTTACAAATTTATTTCTGAAGACCTTAAATTTTTTGCCAACGACCCAGTAACTCTTTTGGTCTTGATGGTGTCTCAAAACTTCTCCTCGGCGCCCTGTGCTCAAATATTATTCGACCATGGGTTTCCAGATACATTATTGCTTCACGAGTTGTACGGCAAAAACGCACTGCATTATGCAATTTGGTGCGAAAACGTTGATTTCGTTCACGTTCTGCTCAAATCAGAAAGACACCGAAGAATTTTTCTGAGTGTGTTGTACAACGGAATGACCGCATATGAACTTGCCCGTTCATTCGACTTTGACGACATTGCTGATGAGCTTGTGCGCTATTATGCTTTAGTCGAAGCCACTCCAAACGATGCCGATGATGATGAACAAGTCAGTGAAACTGCCAGGCTCATTTCACAATAGCAGCCAAGATTAGTATCAAAACTTAGCTCAACAACCATGACTGCAGTATGCAAATAAACGTATTTTCATAAATGTAAAATCTATACTCATATTGTAAAATCTATGTTCATAGTGTAAAATATTTTTTTCGTTTCATTAAAAACTAGTCTTAGCAACAGTCTCCCTACTTCTTTTTCTCAATATTGTTGATTGAAGTGAGAAATGACTTTTCTCTTTTGAACAAGCATAAATGGTGGACCTTGCACCTACCAAATCCAATTTACGGTTTTCAACGCAACAAAATTGTTTTCAAGCATTTTTTGCCTGTATAATTAGTTTGAGCTTTCTGTCATATTATCAGAGCAACTGGCCACTCAATACACAAGCGGTGTTAAAAATATTGGAGATTTAAATCGTCAAATCCCAATTATATACTGCCAAAAGATTTTGCGAATTGCAAATTTTGAGTGCAAAAAGTCACTTCGAAACTCTTTGAATTCTTTATGTTCAGCTAACCCGTTAGAAGAAAATTGGATTAACAAGTAATTTTTCTACTCCACTGGGAATTCAGGAAATAAGACTTCATTCTTGAAATAAGGAGTCATTAAAATTGTTCGGGAACTTAACATTTTTGCAGTTCGATTGTGGAGTTTTTCTCCCTTTTAAAACAAAAGAAACAAGACTCCTCGTCTGAGGGCAAAGCCCTGAATGATCCGACTGCCTTTTAAGCTCTATGAAGCAGTTATAACATGGAAAATTTAAATGTAATGAAATAAAATTAAATTTTTTTTTCTAAGAAATTTGAGATTTTTTCTGAAAACACCCCGAGAACAAATATTCCGTTGCTCTTGTAGTGAAAACCGGATTTATAATTAAAGTTAAAAAATCAAGGCGCGGAAAAACATAAAATGTCCAAATTAAATTGTTGGCAATATTGATGCCCTTGAGCGGTTTAATTGGCCAAAAACTGCATTATTTGAGGTTCATTAAATTTTTGGATACGGATTTGTCGAGCGGAAATCTGTGATAAACTACAAAACTGCCGTCAAAATGCGCGGCTCAGTCTTAGGGTAATTAACTTTGTTCAGATTCGTTAACAGAGAATAAAATCTGCATCATGTTGGCATTAACTCTAAATTTGAGTGTGAACAAATTAAAACTTTTTCCTGGAAAAAAAAAGAATAAAATCATCACGACCGATATAAGAGAAAATAACTTCGTTCTTCTGCCATTAATTACTCTATGGAAAACAAATTACGGTATCAGAGAAAAAAAAGCAAATAGCTTCAAAATACCGCTGATTTCCAGTTTCGAAAAAATTTTGAATTATAAAATTTATTTTAAAAAACACCAGTCAGGAAAACTCAATCAAAGTGAGGGATTTCGCTGCACAAAACTTTAAAAAATCTAAACTTAAAAAACAAGCATTCTAAAAAGATTTCGGTGAATTCAAAGTCATGAACACGATTCAACAGCAGAACAATCTGTTTTTTTCTTGAATTGACGAAAAATTTATTGACCAAGCCGACATAAAAGCCAAAGCCAACATAGCAAATCAAAAACAATTCAATTACAGTGAAAAACACAGCGAACAGAAATTTGGAAAAAAAGAATGAAACATGGGAATTGAACGCCAAAAAACACAGGAAAAAAACATAATTTCTTGCTTGGCAAAACTTCAACCTTCAATTCTTAACGAAAAATATAAGCTTTTACAACTCCTTGAATATCAAAACCGCAAAATCAGAATTGAGCGAGAACAAGTTTCAAGACTTTTTTCCTTAAGAAATACAAAAAAAGTCAACCCAGACCTGTAAAGGAGTTTTCACTACGTTCAAAATTCTTAAAAAACTGCAACTTTTGAATTTTAAAGTAAAAAGTAAATTGTCTTAGAGCTTTGAATTTCCAGAATAAACTATGTTAACTCGTTCAATAGAAAAAAAATTTTATCGCTCGTAGACCTGAAAAATGAAATCTACCTTCAAATTCAGAAATTGACGAATTTTTTGTGACCTTTACACTTTTGCTGTACAATCGTGAGAAAACGGCAAAAAAAACATCTCCGAAAAGTGAAATAAAAAAGTAGAAACAAGCTTCGTATTAATAACACTTTTGCGATGTGTTGAATTTGTCACTAACACTAGCCATTATTGTCGCAGCTAGAGATGTTAAAAAACTGCAAATGCTATGCGATTAACATAGCCAACAGACAATACGAAAAGAGACAATAAAAACAAGTAAGCAGAAAAAACTTGTTTTTGGAAAAAACTCAACCAACGAATTTAAAAGAAAAAATAGATGCTCTTAAAGTTCTTTGTTTCCAGAAAAATTTATGATTGGCATTTTTAAGACACAGAAGTCAAGCGGAGCTTTGCACCACTTACGATACAACGCAACCATTAAATAAACATAAATCGAAAAAAAAAACATTTAAAAATATTGAAAAAACTAGGTGAACCAAAAATTTCATGTCTCGATGAAAGACAACTAGAGCCCAGCTAAAGCTGGCGGAATGTCTCTGATTTTTTCTGAATTTGTTATAATGACGAGGGATGAAGTACATAATCTCAAACATTGGACTTTGTTCAAAACCTTGCTTGTTTCTCTACTAAAATAAGTATGAAGAGTGAAATAAGTAAGAAGAGTGTAAGAAAGATTATGGAAACTTCCCAAAATTAAAACATTTTTTAAAAAACAAATAGGAAGTGGCAGTAAAAAATAGGGCAACTGGTTCTTTTGATTGAATTTTTCATCTAAGATTTGATAGGGTAGTTTTTAAGAAAATTCAGAAAGTTTCTACAAACCGGTCAAAGTGAAAAATTCGACTTACCAAAACCCGATTTTTTTTCTGCTAAAATTAAGTCCTGGCCGGTTAAGAGGAGAAAATTGCACAAATCTGTTTTGTCAATAGAACACTCATCCTGAGTTTTGGCATGGTAATTTTCGAGTAAAGTAAAAAAAAAAACTTCCGAAAAACGGTCAAAATTCAAAACTTTCATTTGTTTAAGAATTAAATTTATGAATAAGAGAGTCAGCCAACTTATTAACCCGATTGAGACCAAAAACCCAGGCAAGGTAGGGTAGTTCCCCAGTAAAATCAAAGTTTCAAAAAACGGTTAGTAAAATCTAATTGTCGACTTGTCCGAGGGCCATATTTTGTGTCAAAAAAATTGGGCGTAGTCGCATATGCCAAGAAGCTTCCCATATACTGTTCTTTAAATTGAACCCGAAATTTCAGATATGGGAGGGTATTTATTTGTAAATTCATAAAATTAGAAAAAAACGCTCAAAAAATCAATAACTGACTTTTCCCAGGACGATAACTTTGTGTGCTCAAAACTTGTGAGAACTAAGTTTTCAAGAAAAGTCAAAAAGATTTAAAAACGGTAAAAAAACAGGGTCATAATTCTGATGGTCATAATTTTATGTTTAAAAAAAATTTAGGCGTAGCCGCTCATAGAGGGGAGCTTTCAAGTCCGTTTTATTCAATGAAACCAAAATCTCAGATTTGTTAGGTTAGTTTTTGAGAAAATGAAAGAAAAATAAAAGAAGTCGGTCAATTATCCCGCACACACTTTTTCAAAGGCTGTAGACAAGCTAAAACAAAAAGATACCAAGGAATTACGCAGGCTCACCGGAATGTAAGAGGTCCTTCTATGGATACCCTCTTTTAAAAATCGGTTAGCAAAAAATGGTAAAAACTTCCACAGCGTCTCAAAAAATAATAAAAACCCAATCCCATACATTTGCATAACACCTGTTTTTATCAAGCAGGAATTCCAGGAAAAAATGCCGAGCAAGACATTTGCATTTCAAATTAGTAACTGAAAAAAATTTGAGAAGCGGAAACAAGGCCGACACAATCTCTAAGCAGACACCAGTTGTGCCGAAAAAAATTTTGCAAAAATAACTTTTAAATGTGACAGATCTCCCTTGAAACTACCATAGTAACTACACCACCGTAGTTAAATTTGAGTTTTCAAAAAATTGAGCATGTCAGCTACATAGCATTATGAAAATCGCCTTAATGATCATTACTCATTAAACTTGAAGTGATTCAATTGATTGTTTTTAAATTAGTTGATAACCCGAAAAAAGTCTACATTATAGCAAGCGTAAAAAAGTTAACCCAATTTGAGAAAACTTGATCAATAAAAATGAATTTTTTTTTCGCTGGGAAATCTGAAAACTAAATTCCAGTTTTGAGACAAGAATTCGGTCACGTTTTTCGTGACCTTTACATTTTTGCCGTTCGATAAGGGGGTTTGCCCTCCTTTTCACAAAGGTTTTAAGCTAACCAAAAACAAAAGTCACACAGCTAAACAGTAAATCTGAGCCTGAACAAATTGTTAGACTTTCTTGGAAAAAAATCCCGACCTATATACGAGTCTGGATGTCTGAATGCCACCTAACATAAATAAAATTAGACCTAAGTGTGGCGTTATTTCTAGGAGGTTCACTCAGGAATCTGACGTCTTTCCCTCGAGCTGTCGACGCTTGACTAGCGACAAACACTAGCCGCCAATAGTGCAGATGTTTTGAAATTTCCAATGCTACAGATCCAGATTATAGCAAAAGTGCGCCCAAAAGAGCACTTTCATTAGGAAGCTAGATCGGAAATACACCTCATAAGCTCGCTTTTGTAAGCAAAGGAAACGAACTGAACTTGAAAAGATCAGAAGTCAAACCGCGAAATAAAATTTGAGCGTGAACAAGTTTTTAGACTTTTCCTAAAAAATGCAGTAAGTATCATCACATATAATAAAAATTCTCACTACGTTCATCGACTCTTGAATACTCAGTGACTTTCAAAACGCTCAACGCTTTTCGATTTTCAATTTAAAAACCAATCTCAAACAAGCAGTTTTCAAAACAACAGATATTTTTTTCATCATTTTAGTTCATTTATTAAAAATCAGTTTTCAAAAAAGCCAATCACCAATTGAGCTCAATCTGTTGGTGTTTTAAGCTGCTCTTTGATCGTATCAGCATCATCAGGAGATAATCCCGGCACAATTGGAGACACTAACTTCAACACTATCTTGGGGTGTTGTTCGTCTGTCCTGTCTACTGATATCTCAACCTGGATCTCGTCTAGCATCATGAATTTGTGTCCCTTGACTGACACCGAGGGTTCATTTTCATCGAACACAACATCTCCTGAACACAGAACATAGCCAATCGAAGTTTAGAAAAGAGTAATGAACACAAAAAAAACATTAAAAAAACACTGACTTTGAAAAAATCTCTACTTTGGAATTACACTGACTTTGAAAAAATCTCAACTTTGGAATTACAAAGAAAAAAATAAGATCTTGGAATTTCTAGAACAAATTATAAATAGCGCTTTTTTGATAACATTAACCCAATTTGAGAAAACTGGATAAATAGGCAAAAACATTAAAAAACACTACTGACTTTGAAAAAATCTCAACTTTGGAATTACACTGACTTTGAAAAAACTCAACTTTGGAATTACAAAGAAAAAATTAAGATCTTGGAACTTCTAGAACAATTTATAAATGGCGCTTTTTTGATAACATTAACCCAATTTGAGAAAACTGGATAAATAGGCAAAGTTTTTATTCCGCTGGAAATCTAAAAATTAAATTTCACTTTCGAAATAGAAATCGTTCACGAATTTTCGCGTCATTTGCACGTTCGTATTTGGAGAGTGCTATATACGTCACTTTCAGCAGATGAATTTCAATTTAACTCAAAAGTTCAAATATACCCTAGTGCATTCATAAATGTATCAATATGTATGAATGCACATCTGTAGTTATTAGAGACTTTTCCTGAAAAAAAATCAAAAAAAATCAGCAAGACCTATATAAGAGTCTGGACTACATTCATTACTCGTTATAACAGTTGGACAAAATAAAACAATGCATTCACATATAGTCCATGTTCCTCATCCGTATTTGGTGCAGGATACAGGGTGTGTGAATTGTGGTTAGTTTCATTTTCCAATCTTACGGAGAAACTTGTACTCCAGTTTTTAAAAGTTTCAAATACTCAAAAATATCTCAAAAACGCAACATCTAATTCAATACATTAAACATAGCCAACATAAAGTTGTAAAAAAAAGTCTATTAACTCCAGCAAACCAAAAAAAAAATGAATACCTTTTTTTGGAAAATTTTCAACTGTCGAAATTCTAAGACAAAATACACCACGTTAAAGCTCTTTAAACTTCTAAAATCTTTTATTATCACAATACTTTTAAAATTCAGTTTTTGCATAGAAAAATCAAAACACAGGCGTGTAACGAAAAAGCGACATTGTTTGTTTGCATGCTGTACCTGCAGATGTGAGTTCCTTTGGAAAGTACATGGGTGTCTCCAGGCCATAGTGCATGACTAACACTATGAGTGCATTGCGTCTCACCATCAACACGTGACCCTCTCTCACCTCTCTCCTGCTGCGGAAGTACAATTCAGTGTGGAGGGCCACTGAGGCCCTCGAAGCATACTGCGCCATCTGAACAACAAGAAAAAATTGTTTTTTTTTATGTGCGCGGTATGATAAAACATGAAGTTGACAGCTTAGAACGCTAGTAAATAAGACATAATCGCCTACAGTTGACTTCGAAAATGGCTAACACACAGTTGGAAGTGTAAAAGAACAAGGACACCGACAAACAGTTTAACTTTTTTTAAGTTCACTTCATTTCCTTTGTTAAATATAATTAGTAGCAAAAAGTTCGGACAGACAGAATTAATTAAAATGAGCAATCAGTGCTTGTCGACGCTTTTTTGCATGCAGAATCTGAAGCCGAACAACCTTGTATTTTTGTCAAACCAAATTCAAAATGCGAGATTATCCGATGATTATGCTAGCTTAGTTTTTAAATACTACGATGAACTTCCAGATTTTACTATAAAACAGTCAGCAAAATTAGTTACAACATCGAAATCTAGAGTTATTTTCAACAACAAAAAAAACAGATTAGTCCGCGCAAACAAAAATTAAACCGCAGTCAAGATGATCAAATTATTCAAAATCTGGAAATTAATCGCAGAAAAACATTAGCCACCCTGAGCAATAGTTTTCCGGTTTCAAGGTTTACTATTCGGCGCTTCGGAAGCAATTGCCCGCCGATGTCATAGGTTTTGAGCGAAACCCTGCTTTATGAACTTTCGACGTTATGTTTGTTTCAGTTTTAACTTCCGTTGATGTCTATACAGCTGCTCTTTTTAATTAATTCTGTCTGTCCGAACTTTTTGCAACTCTCTATAACTAACGCCAAACTGTCAACGAATTTGAACAAGTTAATTGAACTAAGACTGCTCATTTTGACATCGGGAATCAAGTTTTCACTCAATGTGAAGACCAGGTCAAAAATCTAAGCAGCCTAAAAAGCACTTTTTTTACCGAAGTTGCTACAGGTCAGACATTAACACAAATTTGACACTAAACACGTGCAAGGTCACGCCCATGCAAATTGACATAAATCAGTGTTGTGTTTTGCTCACCCTGTGTCTGTAGTTGATGGTATTGCATATGTTCTGCACGTGTTTCGGGTCCAGCATGGAGGGGAAGGAGACGTCGGCCCCTATGACGAATGCCAGCAGTCTGTGCACCATAATGTCCGCATACCTCCGGATGGGACTGGTGAAGTGCGTGTAGATTGGAGTGGCCAACCTAAAAACATAGACAACAGGCATTTGGGAATGAGTCAATGAACGCAATGAAATAAAAATAAATACTGACTTGTTTTTTGCAAAAACTTCAATTTTCGAATTTCAAATAAAAATTTATTTGGCCTTAACCCCCTTTGAATTTTGAGAAAAATTTTTAATTGACACTTTTTGATAAATTTAACTCATTTTGAGAAATTTGGATCAATAGGTAAAGTTTTTATTCCGCTGACAAACCTTGAAAATAAATTCTACTTTTGAAACTGGAAGTCGTTCACGCTTCTTCGCGCCATTTCCACGTTAGTATTTGGAGTGTGCTATTTACATTACTTTCAGCAGTTGAATTTAAATCGAACTCAAAACACGCATATATACCTAAGTGCATTCATAAATGCACATCTGTAGTAATTAGAGCATTTTAAGACTTTTTCCTAAAAACAAACAAAAAAACAGCAAGACCTATATAAGAGTTTTCACTATATTCATCGTTTCTTAATAAAAAAAACACTTCTGATTCAATTTTCCAAAACCCTGTCCTCACCCGTAGTGTACGAAATCGGGCTGCGGTACGAATGCACTGGCGAAGTAGACAGCCTGCATCATGCACCTGGTGGCTATGATGCGCAACAAAATGTCCAGTCTGCCCAGATTGAGGGACGAGATTGTTGAAAAGGAGTCTGCCAGCTCCTTGGCCGAATTAGCCTTGATATCCAAACCCTGAAAAAGTTACCACGCAGTTCAGAGAAATAGCCTAGATGCGAAACTCATTTTTGAGCTACCTTGATAAAATAGCAAAATTGGGTTTCATTACTTTCATTGATCAAGCATGGAGAGAAAATGTGAGGTCAAATTTGGAATTTGCTTTGAAAACACAACGCCTGAATTAAAATAAATTCACTTCGTACATAAATACTTTGAAATTGGTGCAAGGAACGCTCCTTAGTGGTTCAAAAAACAAGAGATATGAAAAAATCTCTGCAAGATCCAACAAAACCCTACCCTACTTAATCAGATGTACAAACCAGCATCGCAGAACTCAAACAGCGTTTTTACCAAAACAAACTCTATCAAAAACTATTAACAACACATCCCGCTAAATTGAGCTTCATCATAACCGGTATTGGATATCCGTGGTTATTACCCCCTATTGCAAAATGAGGAAATCATTACTAGATGCCATATTTGCATATGATTAACCGTTGAATTAGTCCTTTATAGGAGATGAAAATTCTTTGATTCAAACCACAGGGGGGAGGATAAGTTATTAAACTAGCATGTCACCACTTGCCTTCATTTTTGCAGCCTTGATCAAGTTGTCGAAGTTACTGGACGGAGGGGCTGGGTGTCTCCTTAAACACGCACACTCCGAAAAATTCTCATGAGTAATTCTAGCGGTGGTGATATTCGCCAACAACATGAACTCTTCAACTAGTGAATTAGTCTCCATTAACTCTTTTCTCTTCACTTCTATTGGATCGTGTGTTTCACTATCAACGTGGAATCTAATTTCAGGTGATGCCAATAATAAAGCACCTTGTTCAAGTCTTCTGGCTTTTAACTTTTTAGCCAGACTGTTTAGAGTTCGAAGTCCGTTTGCCAGATCTGACTGTTGTGTATTATCGTCTATCATCATTTGAGCCTCGCCGTATGTGAATGCTCTTCTGCTTTTTATGATGGATTTGGTGCACTTTAACAAAAATTTATCAATTTATTTCATTCAAATGCATGTAGTTTTTAACTCTAAGAAGATTGAAAAGCAAAAACTTTCTTGAATGAGCTCAAAAAATAATAAATCTCACATCAGGAAAGACAAGTTTAAAACCACATAACTGTATGCCTTTTTCAGAACTTAACATACTTCTCAGAACAAAAGCCGCCCTTAATTAAAATAACTTTGGGTCAGAGAAGCAAAACTGACAAAATAAAAACCTAAACACACTGATGAAAACCACTTAAAAATACAGCACATATCTTAGCCAAAAACGTATCATATATAATATTAAATATTATAAAAAAAACGAAGACGTTTTTATTTTAAAAAAACTGAATTCATTTTGGCAATCATGATATTTAAAATGACATCTTCTGTTACCTTTGTGTGTTTAATATTAGCATCCTGGTCCAACTGCCAGATGACTGAGAATGCGAACCTCTCCACCCCCTCTCTGAGTGAACACAGGTTGGAGGAGAGCAGAGTGGGGACCATGTCTATCCTTTTGTCACTCAAGTACACAGAAGTACACCTGTTCTTAGCCTCCTCGTCAATAGCTGTACCCGGTCTGGATAAAATATAAACATAGCCTACAGACAGTTGGAAAAGAGTAATGAACGCAAGTGAGCAAAAATATTTCGGATGTTTTATTTGAAAAAGTATTTTCATTTTCAAAGTTTAAATGAATGGCTTTAAAGCTCTTTGAGTTTCTTGAACAATTCACGCCTCGTGCTTTTTCGATAAATTTAACCCAATTTGAGAAATGTGGACCAATAGGTAAAATTTCAATTTCGCTGGGAAATCTAATAATTAAATTCCATTTTCAAGTTAGAAGTCGATCACGTTTTTCGTGACCTTTAGAACTCCGGTGTTCGATTTTTTAAAAATCAAAAAGAAAAGCGAGGTTTTTCCAGAACGGTAAGTGAACAAGGTACTTACGTTAGTTTTATGAAAAGAATCAGGTACAAAAAAGGCCATTGTTTAGGTTATTTTTGCCCAAAATTCTTTTAAAAAACTTGACTTCTAGGTCAGTCATCAAATTCTGGTGCTATCTGTCGGAGCAAGCATATTGGTCTTTTAAATTCTAAATAAATTCACTTTGAAAGATAGTTCGGCGCATCAAAATTTTTCTGTTGCGTTTTCAATGTCGCCCAGTATATATAATCGAGTTTTAATCGACTCTTAACATAGTTAAAAAATCTAAACTACAGAGGCGAAGGAGATAAGCATTACTTGCGATACAAAGAAAACGCACCATTGCAAGCAACAACATGGTCAGTGAGATGGAAATAACTGTGGAAAAAAACCTGAAAAAACGAAAAAAAAACAAATCAGGATAAAACAGATGAAACAAAACCAATAGCAATAGCAAATTTTTAGTATTTTTCGAGCTACCACTAAACCAACGACACGTGGCTAGACGCCAATTGATCCGAAAGCAAACATTCTAAAGGAAATGGTTGTCATAAAAAATCAACACTATTTTGGAAATACGAAAAAATCAATCTCAGAAAAACAGAACATAAACACATCCACTAGCAAAACCCCAACTACACGTTTTTAGACGCCAATTGATCCGAAAACAAAAACACCAAAAGAAACGGTTGTCAAAAAACCAACATTTTTTTGAAATACACAAAATTCAATCAATAAAAAACAGACGACAATCACAGCCACTAGCATTGAACTAGCTTCCAGTATTTTGCACGGGTTCTCAAAGCCGACAACACGTGGTTAGACACCAAAGAAACCAAAAACGAAAAATGTCAAAAAAAATTTTGAGCGATTGAAAAGTTTGAACTTTTAAACTTTGTTCTACCAGCCGACCTGATTTAATTAAAACATGAATAATCATTTTTTATCCTTAAACAGATGCAAAATAAGTTCAATAAACCGACAAAACAAGAGCCGAAATCATTTAAGCTGAAAAAAATTTCTAAGCGAAAACAAAAACCTGAAAAAAACGGAAGCTATAAAATTTCAAAACTCGAAAATTTTACAGCCCTCCTGTAACAAGCAAAAGCATTTAAAAAATCCCCCTTGAATCTACGCAATATAAGTTGAATCAGCCAAATAAAATTTGCTGAGCCCGTTCAACCGGAAAAAATGATTAAATATATTCAAAATCAGAGTTGGAAAAATTACTAACTACAGAACAAACTCCAATTATTAAAAAAAACAGTTTGAAAAAAAAACAGAAGCAATCGAAAAAACAGCTTGAAAAGCGTTTAAATAATATGAAATGAATCTAAAAAAACTGAAAATGAGCCAACAGAAACTAGGACGACAATTAGGGAACACGAGCATTGAAGCCAACATCTATTCGACCTTCCGGCCAATCCAATAAAACCAATACTAAAAAACTTGTGGAAGTATCCTTTACTGGTATTAGAAGAACTTCCAGAGATTTGCTTCGAATAGTCTATGGAGCAACAACAAACTTCAACTGCAAAGAAAGGTGGTGTCTCGCAACAAAAAACACGCACAACTAATCAATAAAGGCAACTCAGTTTTGAACTATTTTCTGAGATTAAGTCCAGTACGATTGCTTAGGAAGTTAGACTTCGGGTATTTGGACTTACCAGATATTTGACGGCTACTTCACAGTTTCATAAAAACAAAATGTATTTACCACGTTGTGACAGGCTTGTGAAAAATCAACTGAAAAAAATCATACTTATTAGTTCGAGCACTTTAAGAATGTTGGACCTAAAGTTTGCCATTGAGATTAAAAGTTCCATTGAACCCAGCATGCAGATTACGTAGATTTCAAACTAAATGTAGTTTCATTTAGCGACCATTTTCAACCAAGAAATTCCACTCAATTTGGACATCGACAATCAGGTCAACAAAGAAGTAAGCTCTTTGTCATCTAGCCAAAAAACCATACTGCCGCCTTTACTTTGTATGATCGAATACCAGATTTTACCCAATTTTCTTTCACGAGTTATTAATGGGAGAGCAAGTTGGTAAAATTCAACTAACCGGAACAGAATGCAAGGATGATCAAGGATTATGTTTTTTTTGCTCAAAAATTCAATCTCTGCCGATTGAGCCACAAAAAAAAGTATATGGCTCTCATCTGAGAAGTAATGGACAACAAGTGAGTTTTGAAAACCATAACTTTATAATTTTGAGTACAATCATAAATTTAAAAATGGCTGGTACACAGTTATATTATTTTGTCAACTTACTTGACGCTTCAATATAGCTTCAACAGACAGACCAACTAAAAGGCCGTAGAGGTGAAAAGAAAAAAGACTAGCGAAAAATGCAGGGAAATTGAAGAGCAGCCGGTTTTTCCCTTGATACCAGTTTTTTTTGAAAATCATTTCTGCGAAAAGTGCAAAAAAAATCCAAAGCCTTGTAAAAAAAACGAACAAACTCCATTCATTTCATAACACATGTTTTTTTTAAATAGCCAAAAACAAAGCCTGCAAAAACAAAGTAATTTCTTTGAGAATTTGTCAAAATTATTTGATGCATCAATATAGATTATACCGTAAGCTCGACAAACATGTGGAGTCTTCAAAAAATTAAACGAGCAAGGTTCATTATCACGCTATTGATATGAAGATAGCCAACTAACAGTTGGAAAAGAGTATGGACGCAAGGAAACTGAAAAAAAAACTGACTTGTTTTGTTGAAGAGCCTTCAACTATTGAATCTCGAAGAAAAAAATAGATGGCCTTAAAGCTCTTTGAAATTGTAGAACAATTTATGATGTACACTTTTTTGTTAAAATTAACCTAATTTGAAAAAATTGCATCAATACCTAAAACTTTTTTTCACTGGGAACTCTGGGATAATTAAGTTGAACTTTGGAAATCAGAAATCGATCACGTTTTTCCATTTTCGAAATCAGAAGTCGATCACGCGTGCTAACTTAAATAATTTTATCTTTGATCTAATGAACAAACTATGAAGTCATTTAATATGTTATTTGATTCTTGTTTGTTTTTTGATTTTTTTGGACATTTTTTGATTTGGTATTTTTGGACAGTTGGAAAAGAGTCATGAACGCAAGAAAAAAAAGAAAAAACGACACTTGTTTTTTTTTCCGAAAACTTCAACTATCAAGTTTCAAATTTAAAAATATATGGCCTTCTATCTCTCTGAATTTCTAAAAAAAAATCTGTATTGACACTTTTTTTGATTAAAAAGTAGGCCAATTTGAGAAAACTGGATCAATGGATAAAACTTTAATTCAGCTGGCAAATCTGAAAGTTCAATTCCATTTTCGGAACTAAAAGTCGGTCAAGTTTTTCGTGACCTTTACACTTTTGCTTTTCGATAGTGGAGTGTGCTTTCCTTTCAACAAAGAAAACGAAGATAACAAAGAAAATCAAACGTCAAACAACGAAAAGTCGAACTTAAGCGTGAACAAAATTTAAGACTTTTTACTGAAAAAAAACAAAATCACCAAGATAAAGTTGCGAATCTCGCGACAAAACTGCCCACAAAAATTTAGTGAAGGCGACTGAGTTTGCCGATGAGATCCAGACTTAGCCTATTTTTAGCGCCCAGGAGTTATGTTACTGTATATTTACTTTTATACAAAAAATGGATGAAAGCCCCTATTTCGACTTCACAAGCACTTACGACCATTTCACCCTCCCCCACGGTTGGTCCTGCATTGAACAGGACCGGGGGCTAACAAAAACCACATCCTACCTTATAAAATGGGAGACATCGGCTATGTGAACACCAACTTCATACAATCCGTCTCCAATGTCTCTACAGTGAAGGGCGTCATCAATATCAGTACATCCAGGGGGGTCCACGCTACAGATATCAAACCCTGTCAAGTCCAGTCTCTGCTCCCTTTCCTCTTTCGAAATAATCCAGGGTAAACTCGGCAGACAACTCAAAACATTATCAGAAAATGGTTGGTGAGGAATGTCGTGTTCTAACAACAGAACTTCATTTTCAGTAGATTTCACTCCAATTTTGCCCAAATTCCGGGTATAGTGACCTAGTGGAAATTTTGAATCTTTAGGCCATGCATCGATTACAACAATGATTCGGTTGCCAAGCAACGCTTGATACTGCCGTGTTTCTATTCTAACTTTAGGAAATCGGGAGTCGGCCGGTTTGAATAGGTGAGAAACTCCTGATTTCACAACTGATTGTTCTAAAGCACCACATAAAGGTCGCCAAGTTCTTTTGATTATTCCGACTACTTTAGCACATGGCGCAACTTCGCTTGTATTTTTCTTTTTTCGTTTTTTCTTCGGAATTTTTTCCTCTTCATCTTCGTTGACGTTTTTTGAACTTTGTTCATCATCATCATCATCGACTGTTGTTTCATAAAAACTTTTCCACTCGCTTTCAGGCAACATTTCTATAGCAACAACATCATCTTGACAAGCTCGGTTTACATGTAGTTTTCCATGAATGAATACCTGTTTGTCTTCCAAAAACACGTGACCTTCAAAGGGATTGTACCTGGACGCTTGGAAACTACCCTGGAATAACCGACCACTTTTTACTCCGCTTTTCAGTTTCGATAAGGGCTGATGATCTTCGTAAATAGCAGCCGAACTGGGAAGCGAGCTTGAATTGTCAGAACTTAACTTATCTGTTAATTCGGGATGCAATTCAAGTACAAACTCTTTTAACGATTTTACTGGTATTTCTTCATCTATGGCTTTTTCTCGGTTCGCCATATCGTTTGAAATTAAAACAGTTTTCACGCTTGGCAAATGTGATTGGTAGAACTTTGTAGCCAATCGGATCAGTCGGTCTTTGAAATCATTGGGCGTCTCTTTCGGTTTCTGGAGCGATAAAGTTTAACTTAAAGCTTCAGCAATTAGCATAGACTCCTACAGAGGCTAATCACATGTAATAAGGATTAAAAAATCAGAAAAGCTGCTTCGAAAAGAATCCATAAGCCCCATTAAAAGTTCCCTCATTTTTAATTCAATTAAGAACCGAGATTTTTCACTTCAAGTTCGACTGAACAACACTTCTTGGTAGGATGATTGGTAATAGGTAATACCCTATCATTATCAATGAGTCCCAAAAAATCAATGTTTTGTTTGCTTGTGTTTGTTCCTATGTTGGAAAAAACTTGGATTCAATAACCGACCCATTGGCGCCAACATTCTAATTTTGAGGAGGGAGCGCGTTCCGAAAAACGCAATTGTCTTTGTACCTAAAACCATTTGAGAAGCTTCAAGTTAAATGGATCCCTGAATAGAGTAGGTCTGTTTTGAGAACTCATTCATGAACAGGTGGAACTTGCGCTTCTCCGATATGAGGTCTTTCACTCTCTTGAATATAGGCAAGGATCTATGTCTTACTTCACTCAGCACTGTCTGGAGAATGATCACATTTTGGATAGCTGGATCTTCCACCAAATCTATATTCTAAACACAAAAGAAGAGGTACAAATACGACCTTAATCAGCTTAGAAAAAAGAACCCAACTTCAACTCTCCTTTTGAGGAGAGGCGGTGACTAATTTCTATATCAACTACGATTGCCAATTGTTGTATTGTCAAAATGAATTCTACCCAATTTTCTTTCAACAGATACTCAGAGGAAGGACCTGTAATTTCATTCAAGAAAAAGGACCTGTAAATTTTACCAAGGATGCATTGAGTTTTGTGCAAAATAGTTTTGCACATTGTGCAGAATATGAAACCAAACGAATACAGTTCTCTTCTGAGCGGCAATTTGCTTATAAAGGGCTTCATAACGAAGAAACCTACAAAAACTCTTGCAATCCGCAAAAATTATTAGTTGGTTCTTGTACTGAATTATCTTTGTGTTTGACAAACATATAATTCACTACGTTCTCGTCAATATCGTAATCAAACAACAGCCAATATTCGTTTATGAAACAAAAGGGGTGTCGTAGATTGACAAAAGCCGAACAAGGAGCGCCACGTTGCCCAAAAAACTTTGGTTGTACTTAATACTTCAAAGCGACCAACTAGATTAAATTGACCCATCTGCAGTTTTTAGGCGAAAGCGTATACCAAAATGAAAGAAATAGCTTGCAGTTAAACCAAAAAAATCAGACCAATCATCGCTTCAATATCACATCATTACATCAGAAAATCGAAAAATTTTTAATGTTTCTTCAGAAAGTATTAGAACTGTGATAGCGAAAGAACCAAAATAAAGCCTTTGGGAAAAATCGCGGCAAAAATTATCCACAAGGAATTAGTCTAGAGGACTGAAAATGCCGATGACTTGAAATAAGTGTCCAGAATTTAAAATTCATGGCATATGATATTGACATACCAGATCTGTCAACACTTCTTCAAAAAATACAATCGCGGACTTATCAAGTTTGTCTGATGAATCAGGACAGCTTATTTTTTATGCTCAACAATACGGCTAAATGTTCAGTAATCAAATACAATCAAACTCACCCAAGATTTTAAAAAATATGTACTGCACGCTGTCAAAAGCCAACACAGGAGTGCCAATTTATTCTGAAGAGTTTGTTTGCAGTTGATATTTTATATTAAAGAAGTTCATTCGTACAGTTCATCTTCACTATTTGTAGGTTATTCAACCCATCTCAACCACTTAAAAACAGTAAAAAAACCTCTGGAGATTAATCGCAGTAAAAATTGGATTTATTATTGAGAAAACATTTTTTTAAATGTTATTCATATTTTTCGCTGAAAGCAGTCCTATTAAAAACGATTGCAAAATCAGCTATAGGTTTAGATCCCACATGTGCCATAAGGTCATCATTTCTTTATTACCGCCCAATGCCACAGCAATCTGCGAAATTTTCATTCAAGAGATAAGCGAGGCAAAGCAAATAAGTAAACGTCTTCCAAAAAAAAAACAAAGTGTATTTTAACAAGGATGCATTGATTTCCGTCCAAAAAAAAACAAGATTCTGAATTATGTGAACCATTGAGATTTTGCATTATTTTGAGAGGGAGATAAGATAGATAGTGGTTTATGTGAACCGAAAGAATACAGTTCTCTTCTGAGCAGCAACTGTCTTATAACGGGCTGCAAAGTGAAGAAAACGGCAATAACTCATCATAAGCCGAAGGAAACGTAAAATAACTGGCGTTCTGCATTTTTGTCATGGGTTCGTTAAACATACATTTCAACAAGTTCTCGTCAATAACGTTATCAAACAACACAGTCAACCTCAGTGTTTAAAAGAAAAAAAGGAAATCGGAGAGTGACAAAAGCCGACCCAGGAGCGCCAAATCGACCAACTAGATTACATTGGCTCATCTACAGTTTTTGTGGGGAAAATGTCAGGTGCCAAAATGAAAGAAATACCTTGCAGTGAATACAAAAAAAGACCAAACAACGCTTCAATACTGCTAAATGCTCAGTAACCAAACAAATCAAACCCATCCGAGATTTAAAAAAGCCAACCCAGGAGCGCCAATTTATGCTGAAGAGTTTGTTTGCAGTTTATAATTCAAATTGAAAAAAATCATTTGCATGGTTCATCTTCACTATTTTTAGGGAGCGATGGTGATTTAATTACATTATACTTAAATCTATCCATCCAAACCACTTAATAATAGTAAAAATTCTTCTTAAAATTTATCATAAACAAAAATTGGAGCAAATTTTGAGAAAACTTTTTACTTCGTTTTCTACGGTTATTATGTTTCTTTGCTGAAACCAGTTCTATTAACAAACGATTGAAAAAATCAACTATAAGTAAAGATCCCACATGTGCCAAAAGGTCATCATTACTTCATTACCGTTAAATGCCAGATCTGTCTACAAAGTTTTCATTCAAGAGTTAAGCGACGGAGAGCACGTTAATATACTTCTTCGAAAAAAGGACCCCAGTGAATTCATCAAGGATATATTGGTTTGATTGATTTATGGGTTCAACTGTTAATCAACTATTTCTGTAAAATTCGTTTATGTCTGCAAAACGGACCAAAATATTTCAACAATTGGTCTTAGGGAATTTTGCATCTGGCTCCCTGTTGAGAACAATTTTAATAATTTGAACAATCATTTTAAATATTGATGCAGAGCTTGGACCTTATGTGATTAATCTGTCTACACAATGCCATAAATCTGCTGCTTTATGTTTATTCAAACATAAGTATTTTTTCCAATATTTTCTTTTATGTTTTCAGATTTATATATTTTTTCATTTTCTGTGAAGATCACAAATTTCGTATTTTATTTGATAAAACGGGTAGTGCTCTGTAACCCAATAAGTTTCGTTAACTGTCCCCTAGCTGTTTCTGGAGCTTCATGTTTAAATTCTCATTATATGCATATTTACCATTAATAAGGAGAAACAAATTCTTTCGTTCTTTAATTCGATTCAAATGAGCAATCAAATGACAAGTAATCATTCTTTGTATTCTGAAGGCTTCATAAATGGCTGGTGCAAAGTAATTTCTTCGAATCAATTTAGATTATACCGGAAGCACGATTAAACTGCGGAGTCTTCAAGAAAACAAACGAGCAAGGTTCATTATCACGCTATTGATATGAACATAGCCAACTGACAGCTGGAAAAAAGTAATGAAAGCACGGAAACGGAAAAAGACTGACTTGTTTTTTTTTCTCAAAAATCTTCGACTTTTGAATTTCGAAGAAAAAAATAGATGGCCTTAAAGCTCTTCGAATTTGTAGAACAATTTATGATGGACACTTTCTTGTTAAAAATTAACCCAATTTGAGAAAACTGGATCAATAGGCAAAACTTATATCTCACGGGAATATCTGATAATTAATTTTCATTTTCGAAATTAGAAGTCGATCACGTTTTTCGCGACCTTTACATTCTTGCTGTTCGATAGTGAAGTTTGCCTTCCTTTCAACAAAGGACATGAACTGAACTAAAAAAAAAATCAAAAGTCAAACCGCGAAAAATTAAAATTGAGCGTGAACAAATTTTAAGACTCTTTCATGAAAAAAAAAAACAAAAAAAATCGCCAAGACCTATCTAAGAATACTCACTAAAACCATTACTCTTAACATATATAGCATTATGAAATAGTTCTTTGAAACTTTAAGAAATGCGATAGCGGAAAAAATTAGGTCAAAAAGCAGAAAGACTTGCAATAATATACACACAAGGAACCAATGGTTACGACTAAATTTTACCGCAGAAATGAGATTGCGCCCAACTCAGTGTCAAGGAGTTAAAACTGTGAGTTATGATAAAGATGTTTCTGACATTTCACCGCTCTTTTATGCGTTCGAAAAAAAAACGAAACGTGATATTCAGCGTTGTAAAATAGGTGTTCATTGCCGCATTTAGGGCAGGATCACGTTACAACTATCGGAAAAAACGTCAAATGAGGCTACCTTGAGAGGGCTATAGGATATATCAACGAAAGCCTTTGAACCAACGCCTAACGACTTGAATTTAATCTCACATAATAGGGTCAATACACCAGTAAAAACTTGGTATCTCGCAAAAATTTACCTAAAATTTACTCGTATTTTTTTTTACTTTAACGAAAATTAGCTACAATTCTCAAACTAACTCTTAATTTTTTGAGACAGAAGCATCAGAAGACAGATCCAATTTTATTTCAATAGTTAACCCTCAATTTTCGTTCGTATTGCTTGGCTATCGTTGGGCATATACATAGCACAACTGAGAGAAATTGATTGCGACAAAAAACTAAGCTCACAATGCTGTGGTGAAGGGAATAATAATAGTTCTAGAGAAAACTGCAAACTAATTCTCAAGGAGTTACTGGGGACAACTGAAACTACCGACAACTTGAAACAGAGCCCAGTCCGGATGAGTGTCCAGGTGCTAAAGATTTATGCGAAGACTGCATAAATCACTGTTGCAAAGCAAACATCGCCATTGACAGCTCCAAAAAAGACTTAAATGGAAGGAAAAAAAAAACATAGCCAACTGACAGTTGGGAAAAAATAATGAACGCCAGAAAAATTAAAAAAAAACGACGCGTTTTTTCAAACACCTTCAACTATTGAACTTCAAAAAAAAAACAGATGGCCTTAAAACTCTGTGAATTTGTAGATTAATTTATGATGGACACTTTTTGTTAAAACTAGCCCAATTTCAGAAAAATGGATCAATAGGTAATACTTTCATTTTGCTGGGAAATCTGATAATTAAATTTCCATTTTCGAAATTAGTAGTCGATCACGTTTTGCGATAGTGGAGTTTGCCTTCCTTTTAACAAGGGAAATGCACTGAGCTCAAAAAAATCACTTAAAACCGCGAAAAATCAAGCATGACTTTGAATAAATTAAAAATGAAATTGAAATCCAACGTTCATTACTCTTATAAAAAATCAATGATTTTTAAAAATCTTTGCGAATTTCAAAGAAAAAAATGAATGGCATTAAAGATCTTGAAAATTCAAGAAAAATTCCTGATTGACAGTTTTTTGATGAGACTAAACTAATTTGGGAAAACCGGATCAATATCAAAAAGCTTATTACGCTGAGAAATCTGATAAAAATCCATTTTCAAAAATAGAAGTCGATCACTTCTTTTTTTGGCGAGCCTTACACTTTCACTGTTCAATAGTGGAGTTTGCCTTTTTTAAGAAAAGAAGTGAAAGAACTTAAAGTAACTTAAAAACTAAAGTGAAAGAATTACAAAACTTAACTTGAGCTTGAACAAATTTTAAGACTTTTTCCTGACAAAAAAAACAACACCAAGACCTATAAAAGAGGAGTATTCGCTACGTTAATGAATATTAATATTTCAGTGGATTTCTCAAGTTTCCTTGACACATTAAAACAGATTACAGAGTATGACTGACAAAACTGCTGAAAGATTCTAGTAACCAAACACGAGCAAGTACATACTTAGCCAAAAGCTTACTCAGGAGCGCCTATTTATTCTGAAGACTTGGTTTGTAGTTAAAGTCTTAAGTGAACTATTTTATCTTTATATTCATCTTCAGCACTTCAGGAAAAGATGGATAACTATATATATTTTACTTTTTTAACCATCTTAGCCAATTGATGGCAAATGTCATTTCGAACTTGATGGTATGGCCTTTAATTTACCGGCCTTTACTTTTTAATTTTGGCATTTAACTTTCAGCCCTCTCCAAAATTTAATTTGCGATATTATTTTCCAGAGCATGCATTTTCCGTTTCGCTCAACCAAGCCAAATTTAGAGAATCAAGTTCATATTAAGGCTGGATATCAATTTTGAATTCAAATGCCACATGAAACGATAACACTGAACACATTGGTTATAATGATATTATTAATAATTGGAATATTAATAGGGATGCAAAGCTACACTTCCCAAACACAAGTTCAAAAACGGCCAAATAGCTTCAAAAAGGCAAATATATATATAAAACAAGGAAAGAAACGGCAACAAAATCTTTGAAAAATCAAACTTAAGCTTTTTACCGGAATATGTCTGTTGACCTGGAGATAACGAGTATCGCATCCTGTCATTTGAAAACATGCAAACAGGAGCCACTAATAGTGCTCACAGAACAGATGCTGTAAAAAACTCTTAATGCTATGCAGCAAAAACGTCAACAAATTATAACTTTTATTTGCTAGTTGGATAGGAAAAAAGTGGATTCGTAGTGTAATACTACACTTGCAAGCTTGTTTGTGTAATGATAAAAAATGATAATGATTAAAATCATAATACCTTCGTATGTTTCTATTGTATAGGATACATGATTGTCAGCGAAACCCAACTTAAAACACTTTGTAACAACCTATCGCAACTCAGATTCATCTTCTATTTTCGTACCTGAATAAGAACGTTGGTGTCAAACACCAAATACATCTGATTGGAATCACCACTCAAATCATCCAACCATTTCCCATCTCTATCTTTTCTATCTTCAAAACTGACACTACCAGTAAGGTTCGAGGAACATTCTGAACATGCATTCGATCCACAAGGGATCCCGTCTCTGAGGTACAACTCGCGAACTACCTTCACGACTCCGCCTCTCCTGGTCTTCTTGTAGAAGGCGAGATTGTGCACGTCCGACACAACCATTGCACTCAAACGAATTATATAAACAAATCTGTCTGAAAATAAAACTTTATTGGCTAGAGGCATAATACCTTCAATTCATCAAAATCACAGAACTCGAAAGTCAAAATAGCAAACACAGCCAACATACAATTGAATTAGTGTTTTTTGAAATTAATTGCTTAAAGAAAACGCGTTAAATTAGGATTTTACTCCATTTTGGATTTTACTCCATTTTACTCCGAATTTTAATTTTGAATTAAGAAAATTGTTACACTAGAGGACAAAACTGAACGCAAACTTACGTTTTAACTCTCTAAAATGTCTAATTTAGTGGACCATTTTGAACAAAATTTACCAGAAATTTAACCAAAAATTTTACATCAACCGAGAGCAAAAAATCTGAATAATCCTCTTTGAAAGTCTCAACTGTTGTTTTGAAGAACTTACCAGACTTTTTCGGGTCTGGAAATGCTAATTGTCACCATTTAATAAGTTCTCTACTAGAAAAAGTCGATCATGCGATGTGAAACATTTTAAAGGACAAAAATGAATTGGCCAGTGTGACAACTTCTTCGACTGTGTCTTACAAAAGTGGACAAAATAAGCGCAAATTTTAGATTTTACTAAGTAAAATGCCTTTTTTCAATGTACATTTTGGATAACTTTTCCATCGAAATTCAGTAAAACTTTTACCTAGACCAAGAGCAAATGAGCAGAGCTACCATCAGTGAAAGTATCAATATTTGGTTTCAATGACTTACCAATGTAATCCAGGTCTGAAAATGCCAGTTTTCCTCATCTGCACTAAGTTTTGCATCGCAGTTAAATCTTTCTTGAATAAGCGGAGTAAAAAATTTGTTCATGCGAAGTGAAAAATTCTCAGCGAGAAAATGGAAACAATCAGTACGAAAACTTTACTAAACTGGGACATTTCTTACTTTTTCACGCAAAGTAGAAAAACTTAGTGCGAATGAGGATAACTGGAATTTGCGCAACCGGAAAAAAATTGGTAAGTCCTGGAAACCAAAAATTGAAAGTTTGATAGAGGGTAGCTCTGATCATTGCTCTTAGTCTATGTAAAATTTTTACTGAATTTCGAAGGAAATTTTATCCAAAATGTAAATTGAAAACAGGCATTTTACAGAGTAAAATTCTGAATTTGCGCTTATTTTTATCGACTAGTATATAATTTCAAACCGTAAAAAAAATTATTACAAATGGTCATAACCGGAAATTTCGGACTCGGAAAAAACTGTTTTTCAGAGCAAAAATTGAGACTTCTTAAGAGGAAAGTTCAGATTATTTGCTGCCGTTCGATGTAGAAACTTTGTTGAAATTTCAACGAAAATTTTTCCAAAATGGTTTTTGAAATACGACAAATTACAGGGTAAAAACCTGAAATTGCGTTTAATTTTGTTCTTTTGTGTACTTGGAAATCAAACTAAATTTTTAGTCGACCGAGAGTTGTGAAAGCACACTTGTGAACCACAATAAGCAAAAATTCCAACTTTTACTCTCTAAAATGATTATTTTCAGTGTCCAATTCAGACACCTTTTATTTCAAATTTCAACAAAAAATTAATTGGAATAAGAGCAAATGATAAGAGCTACCCTTTATGAAACAATCAATATTTGGTTTCAAAGACTTACCTATGTAATCCGAGTCTGAAAATTCAATTACCTCATCTGCACTAAGGTTTGCATCACTATTTTTCGACTAAACGAAGTTAAAAAAATTTTCATGCAACGTGAAACATTTTACAAGATAAAATTTAACTAATCGGTGTTAACACCTAACTAGACTGTTTCTTACTTTTTCACGCGTGTCGACGAAGTTAGGGCAGATGAGGAAATCTGGCATTTTCAGACCCGGATTACATTATTAAGTCTTTGAAACCAAATATTGAAAGTTTCGTAGAGTTTAGCTCTGATTATTGGCTCTTGGTCCATGTAAAAAATAATTGAAATTTGAAGTGAAAGTTGTACAAAATGCACACTAAAAACACGCATTTTAGGGAGTAAAAAAATTGAACTTGCGCTGAACTCTGTCCACTAGTGTATCAACTTTTGATTTCAGGCACTTACCTTTTTGTTCAGGCGCTGAAAACCAGATTTTAATGTATGGAGTACGTTTTCCAATGGCGTGAAATTGTACTAATCAACCGAGTTTAGAAAGATTTCACACTGATGGATGGAAATTGTTAAATTGATATGAAAAATTTTTTCATTCACTTGTTTGGGAATGCATTCACTCCCTGAAACTACCCTGTAGTAACCAGCACCCACCCATTTGTTAGATTAGTCCCCCATGAAATTACCCCGTAGTAACCAGTACCCACCCAAATGCTAGAGTCAAATAATCCCCCCTGAAACTGCCCTGTAGTAACCAGTACCCACCCAGTTGTTAGATTAGTCCCCCCCCTGAAACTACCCCGTAGTAACCAGTACCCACCCAGTTATTAGATTCAAATAGTCCCCCCTGAAACTGCCCTGTAGTAACCAGTACCCATCCAGTTGTTAGATTAGAATTTTGATGAAATTGAGCATGACAGCTGCATAGTGATTCAACTGATTTTGTTAAACTAGTTGCTAGCCCAAAAAAAAGTCTATTCCGATTTGATAACGCTGGCTAATCCCAAGCGTAACAAAAGTTAATATCAAAATACAAATTTGAAATGGCAAATCTCGACAAAATCGTTGAAAAACCTTACTTCTAGCAACTAGACGTCAACTCAGTGATAACTACATATCATCCAGATACAGTTGATATGACAACATTGAAGATTTGAGGATATAGCCTATTAGAGTCAGATAGATATTGAATAGTAACGATCTATGTAACGCTTAAGTACCGTTATTTTTTTACTTCCGAAGAAAATGTGTACTTCTATGAGGGTCATCGCACAAGTAAAACGAGGCCACACCAACGCTATATAACTGCATCTTAACATTTAGAAAAAACTAGTTAATGTTTGGAGCATCAACATAATTGTAGTATAATGCCGTTTATTCACAGGCAGCAGCGAATTCAGGATGACCTCCCCCCTCCCCCTTTCGTACTAATTAATACATCTATTTTCTGCTAACCAACTCTTCAAGTTTTCTGAGGGCGCCATGACGGGCGCTAATATGTACTCATTTTGAAGGGAGATCGAAATCATTTGTCATAAAGATAGTTTTTTTTCACAGACTATTGAACAAATTTTTGGCATTCCATTGAATACAAATAGGAAATGACAGTGTCGAAGCGCATTACTTTCTATTCCTAAAAATGTGCCAAAACAACAACGTTAAAAATATCGTAAACACAGCAACAAATTTCATATTTTTCAACTAAATTTTAAAAAATCAGCAAAAATTCAAGGAAAGCAATAAATTGTACATAACCGGAATACATTGAAAAGATTCTCATTTAGCGAAAAAATGTTTACTTGCTCAATTCATGCTGTGGCAATTAAGACAAAAAATAAACAGACAAACAAAAGCATCGCAAAAAATTCCACTTTCGAAACTAGAAGTCGATCACATTTTTCGTGACCTTTTGCTGTTCGATTTCGTGACCTTTTTCCACTTTTGCTGTTCGATAGTGGAGTTCGCCTTTCTTATGATAAAAAAAATGAACTGAACTTACAAAGAAATCAAAAGTCACACCTCGAAATACCAAATTTTAGCGTTTTCGAGTGAACAAATTTTAGAACTTTTCCTGAAATAAAAAAAGCAAAAAAATATCTCCACCTATATTAGAGTCTGAAATACGTTCATCGAATCTCAAAAAGAAACATCCATATTCCAATTTGATAACGCTTGCCAATCGGAAACATAATTAGTTGTTAACCTGAAAAAAAAAACGTCCATATTCCAATTTGATAACGCTTGCCAATCGGAAACGTAATTAGTTGTTAACCTGAAAAAAACGTCCATATTCCAATTTGATAACGCTTGCCAATCGAAAACGTAATTAGTTGTTAACCTGAAAAAAAACGTCCATATTCCAATTTGATAACGCTTGCCAATCGGAAACGTAATTAGTTGTTAACCTGAAAAAAAACGTCCATATTCCAATTTGATAACGCTTGCCAATCGGAAACGTAATTAGTTGTTAACCTGAAAAAAAAAACGTCCATATTCCGCTTTGATAACGCTTGCTAATCGCACGAGTAATGACGTTTTAGTTCCGGTTAATTTTCTACTGAATTTTTCACAAGCACTTCCTTCTAAAAACCAACAATTATGGAAAAAATCTATTTGCAGAATTGGTTGCATCTACTGACAATTTATGGTACAAATTAAATAATAAATAGAGCAGCTACACATTTAGGTACAGGTACAGGGATGGAACATTCAGCTCAAATTTGATAAATATCAATGTGAAATCAGCAGAAACAGTGTTTTTGAGGGCAAATCAACAAACAGACCATTGAAAACTTGTTCATTTTATGGCAATGTTTATAATTTATATTTCTTTACAGCATTCACTTGGATTGGAGATAATCAATAATTAATCATAATAAATTATTAATGATTGGCGCTAACTGCTATTTTGTATTGCATCAATAACAGTGAGTCATACCTATAGATAAGTCATTTGAAATACAATTATTTGAAATAATAGGACAAGCGAGACACGCGGTATCTGAGAGACACGCGGTATCTGAGAGACCCCGCGACCCACAATTTATAATTGTCGACTATTTGCGCAAGTACTCTTAAGAAAGAGACTCAAACTAGTCCAATTGTGGGGATTTGTCAGGTGTGCTCTGAGCCAATGAGCCATTTAATGAAGAGAGAAGGAATGATGATGGCTTGCTAGTTTAGATCCTGGAACAAAAAGTGTATAGTAAGAAAGGTGTTAGGCAAAAAAAGGTTTTTCAAGATACATTGTTTATACCAACCATTTCTTTTCAGATTGCTAGTTCTGTAAACATTCCCTCTTCGACATAGCCAATATTGATTTATTCTGGTTAAATTTAAGTTCAGAATTCAAATTAATCGGCGAGAATTTTAGTGCGAGAGCAGTTTTTTTAATTGATCAGCTATTTCGAATTTGTCGCTTTGAGCATTTAATGGAAAGATTCGACACAAAAAATGCGTATTATGGACATGCACTCCTCTCTCAAATTTAATGTATACGGAGACTAAAGGCGTCTTTAGAACGTTTTTGGGGTTGGTCTGTCATAAATGGCTGTCGTAAGAAAACCAAAGGGGAAACCCCTTCAGAAAAAATCTGGCAACCAGAATTCGGGAGTAGCGCGACTTTTCGATTTACAAATTTTAACTCTTTGGCTGGATAAGAAACGTTAAAAGACTAAAAACAGGCCAGATTTAAAAGTTTGAGATCAGAGAACTGACTGACCTGGTCTCGTAGATTCCACTCTTGCCAATGTACCTGACCCACTTGACAGTCTCGTGGTCGCTGTAGTTCAACTTGGGCTCAAACACCTTCAGATACCGCACCTTCAAGCCACTAGGGGCAAACGGAACCTAAAACACACATGAGATATTGAAACAAATAAACCCACTCATGAAAACAGGAACAAGTAGAACTCAATGGACAGCAAAAAGAAACAAGGGATCAAAATAATAATCTGAATTCTGAAACATCTGATCTAGACAGGTGTGAGATCGAGCTTTAGCCTTAAATTATATTTTCGGAGCTATTTTTGGCCAGCCACAACCGAGCTTTACATATATAGCATAACGCTCGAATTCAATTCAGCGCAATCTATATTCACAAACTGGATTTGATAAAATTCAATATGAACACGAGCAAAGTAAAATGAGTTTATAGATGATGATGACATTGATCATCATCGATGATGAGTTTATAGATGTTGAAGTGTATTGATGATGATGTCAGGGGCAATCTAGTATAAATGCGAGAGTGCGGGGTTTTTTAGTTTCAAGTCCGACCACAGAGAAACTCGCCTTAAAAACGCTCAAAAGGTACTTTGCCTTTTTAAGCGCGCGATCCTCCTTCAAAACTGAAATTACTAGTTCAGTGTCTTTTGAAAAAACTCAAGGTAGCTCGGCCAAAAATGGATGTTATAAAACAGTACTAAAAGGGGACCCTTTAGGTGATGAATGAGTTGAATTCCCGAAAGAGATACCTCCCCGTAAATCGGCCCTCGATGGTATTGGATTTCAGTGTAATTCACTTGAAGGAAAAGTACCTCGAAGTTCATAGAGATGGGAGGTCTGGTCCACTTCTTTCTGTCCTTGGAGTCCATGAACTCGACGTCTGCAGTCAGGGTTGCGTCTTTACTCCCGCCCATCCTTTTGATCCTACAAGCACAATTTTTTCAGCATAGAAACTTCATAGAGTTTTTGTTTGAAAACAATTATAATTAATTTTGCTATTAATTTATCCATCAATTTAAAGCTTGCATTTTACACAAAATGGCCTCAAACAGTGTCAAAAGAACTGTCGGATCTACTTAACAATCTCCCCCTTTCAAGAAAGGGGGGATTCTTTAATAAATACAATAGCGGGGGGGGATTGTTAAGAAGATCCCCAGGTATCTACTTAAAAATCTCCCCCCCCCCTTTCAAGAAAGGGGGGAAGATTCTTTAGTAGATACGATAGGGGGAGATTGTTAAGTAGATCCGAACTGTCTTAGTTAATTTCGTTTTAAAACAATGAATGCTCTTGAAGTGAATGACTACTACTCACTTCCAGGAGATGATGTTCTCTCCTGACTTGTACTTGGCACGTCCCTTCATGCAGATAAGCTGCACATTCGTCGCATTGGGCGGAATCGGAATCTTCACCTACATAGAAATCAATTTCGAATTCAAGCTGTTAATGTTGCATATTTAGAAAAGCTGTTCAAAGCTAAAATTCAAAAATCGAGCTGTCAAAAATTGCGCAAAAATCTAGAGCATTTTTTTGCATTAATTAGCATAAAAAAATTGGTTACTCGGAAATTTAATCCAATCGATATCAGCTCCTACATCTATTCTTTTGCCTTGGAAAAACTTAATCTCTAACTTGAGACTTTAAAACTGCTTACTTGCTATATTATTATACCATATTTTTTCGCTATAACTAAACTTGTCCCTTACCTCAATCTTCTGTGCCTGAATTGCCGGTTTGAAGTTGGACTTCAGAATCACTTTATAATCCATCGCGTGCTTCTTGTCTCTTTCAGTGACCATAGGGTGCACTCTAAAAGGGAGTGCAATGTCATTCGTAGTCCTGTACTTCATTAACTCGTACTCTCCGTCTGGGGGTATGAAACTGATCGCTCTTTCCGACTCGAATTTAGATAGCTTCACGCACTGGTGGAAAGTGCAGTCGTCTATGGCTATGCTGGACTTGTTGGCAGTTCTAAACAAGCATTAACGTTAATAAATATATAAATAATACTCCAATATAGCTAAACGTTACATTCAATACGACACAGCTTTTTTCGTTAAATGCGTCGTCCTATTCATTTGAAGTTTCTTGAGACACGAAGACAATCTTGAGGCATAAACAAAACTATAACATATACATAACTGACAGACACCGGAACAAAGATAGCGGATGAACTGATGATTAACCTCAGATTGTAATTCCCAAGCATTCCCTGGGAGGATGAGGGGGACTAAATATAAAACCTGTATCATTAACTCACCCTTTAGTGTCGTCTGGTTTGGCTTGGTTGTTCTGTTTTTCCATAGTGATCTTGTCGTTCAGTCCGAATTTGCACTCGGGCATTCCAGAGAGAAAGCTCTTCATCACCACCCGACCAGCCACGTGCGAACTCAACACTTGACCTGGATCACAATTGAATGCATTTAGTTGAGACATACAAAAAGAGAAGCAATGTCACAAAAGGTCACAACTTTGAGAATTAAGTAGTGCATGAAGTAAACTTTAGAACTAAGATTGAAAACATATTCATTGTATTATAAGTCAATTTTACATGCTATTAAGACAGTTTTTTCCAAAACATTATGCTGGCAGATGAATTGTTGGTCAAAAATTCTAAAGTTTCGCTTTATTGCCAAATGATTTGACTTTGCTATTCAACTTGAATCTGCCACCTATTGTGATATATTCACCTAAAAAGAGAGCTTCTTTGTTTTCTTACTTGGATGTAATTTGCACATAAAATGCAATCGATGATTCCTTGATTTTTTTTTCAATAAATTGCCTTATTACGTGTCAGAAAACCAATTAATTTTCTCCCTCTCAGGTGTAACTGGTTTCCGAATCAAGTCCGATTGAACTGAGTGACCTTGTGCGGACATGAGTAGATTGACGTTCTCCAGGACATCCAGGAACAGTTCGTTTCTCCTGTACTTGATGCCCTCTCTCCTCCACGCAATCTGCCCTGTCACCTGAGACGTGATCTGAGTCGACTCCTCTCGCGTCTAAACACATCGGACAAACTTTCCAGAACCTCAATTCACAGAAAAAGGATTAACATGCGAGCAGCTGCTTTCCTTGCGGAAAACAGTTATTGTCTCCCAGATTTAGACAAATATCCAACCAAGCATTGTTGTGCCTGGAAACTCAAATCTAGCGCCAAAATAAAGCTCGCTTTTTGTGGTCAAATTTTTCTTAAAATTCTCCAAAAATGACATTTGCGGGTTAATCATCAAACTATTTTGTAGGAACCCCCAAAATCAATTAAGCACAGCAACTGGATATCATTGTTGTTCCGACCATTGAGACAGTAGGGCAACAAGTTAGTCATCGGATGTGCTTAGTTTTTTTCTTGTTTTTTCCACGCATCAGGTACCAGAAATAACCAACACACAGAGGCGAAGTTGTATTCGCATACGCAAGCAAAAATATGACCGATAACGCTACGGGAAAAACTGAATGAGTTCAACTTTTGAGTCTAAAAAATTTCTTAAGTGACGCACGCCAATACTCGAACGACATTTAGAATCTTTCAAAAAATTAACGCAGTCGAGAAAAACCGGTTTTAAGTTATTACTTTTCAGTAACGTTTGTTAGATGCAAATAAAGAAGAACAATGCGGTTACTCCGAATCGCAGAGGAGCTATCAATAGGCCTAAACAGTCCTGTCGAGGATAGTCCATTTGTACTATCCTCCCACAATCCAGACTGTGTTATTTTGTTAAGCAAAGCTTTTTTCCTACTCAAGGCCATTTTTGCGTCTAAAACTTTCACGTTGTACCACTATTACAGCCGAAAATGTTCAGGCAGTCGTGGAGTTGAAGCTAGAGGTCAAATGAGAGCTCGTCCTCGCACACTGTCATGGCATGGGATCGAATACACGATCTGACTATTTCAATGTGAACGCCTTACCACTATGCTAAGTGCCTCAAAATCGTTTCTTTTTTAAGCCCCTTAGCTTTACTCCAGACAAACATGTTTTCGAAGCTTCATTAACATTATCTTGTCAATAAAAAAATTTTCATAAAAACTTCAAAAAGGTCTGCAAAAACTAGAAATAAATTTCTCAATATTTTACATTCTAATTCCATTTCCACCTTTTTATTCTAAGGTAACTTTAGTCGAATACAATTGATTAACTTGATTTCTAAATCTCCTTTTTCCTGTTATCACAACGCCAACAGAAAATGGCACAAATTGGAAAAAAAATATGATAGTTTTTATACATTTGATCGGAACTTTCTGTGCTACTTGCACAGCAACCGTACATACAAATGCATTTACCACAATAATAATCGCAATGGGTGAAGTGACATGTGAAAACAAAACCCTTTCAGCCATGATTCGAGCGACATTGAAAAAAGCTGTTAGTGTCGATAAAAACCGGTAAGAAATTTTTTGAGTTTGTCTAAATTCGCGCAAAAAATGAGAGCGAGCAGGTCAATTTTAGAAAAATAGGCCATGAAACTTTTGCTCCAGTGCAGTGAATTCAGGAAGTTTTTTAGCGTCATCTTTGGAAAAAAAAACATTTTAAAAACTGCAAAATTGAAAAAATATATATTCTGAAACTCAAATATATTTCTGATTTTTCTTTGTTTTTTCTTGTCGTTTGGAGACTGAAACCGGTGCTCGATTTGCCTGATTTACTGTGACTGTCAGATTCTTTCACCACATGATGCACAAAAAAACATACTAATTTGAAAAAAAAACCAGGAAAAAACCAGGAATAACTTCTAAAGTTTAATTCATGAAATGTGTTTTTGTAAGATTTTGGTAGAAAAAATCTGAGCTACTTGCACAGCAACCTATTCTTCTTCATTTCTGGATTTGCTCGAAGTTATCCGAAAAAAAATTTCGTCGCAGCAACACGTTTTTTTTTCAATCCCGAATTGTAAAACGAAATGACAGGCAGGTAGCATTCAAACTCGGTTTCAATTTCAAAAACTGTAATTAGTTGCGAACAAATACAAACCGTAGTCTTGATGCCTTGCTGTGTAATGAACGTTTTCAATATTCCACTGTCTGTATTCTGAGGATACCCGTAATCCAGCACTTCATCTAGCAACTCATAAATCAACACAAAGTTGTTCTTAATGTTGTCTTCTGTGATCTTCCCAAAGTATGACGTCATGAGCAGTTTGAACTTGTGGATGAACTCAAACACTAGAGCACCATTGACGTTCTGTTTTGTAACAGCTGCAATCCAGATATTGCCTGCAATGAAAAAAACACTGAGAATCGACTTCGTATTTAGATTTTACACAACCATTATACAACCACTACCCCAGTCTAATTATGACTTAAAAACGAGAAAAATGATTTTTATAAGTCTATAATTTACTGATCGGCTAGAATCGAAGGACTAACTCAATTCAAAAAACTTTTGCTGACTATAACGATTCCTCCTCCCCCCCCCCCCCCCACGCTTTACCTTTATTATGGGCAACTAGTGATGTTGCAAGGTTCTATATAACGCACCAAGCAATTCTATCACAGTAATCTTTCAGGTAGGTACTCCAATTTCTAGACTTTAATAACTAACTTAAGGATTAAAAACGTCTAAGTAATCTGAGAAGCCCAATTTCTCTGACCTAGTCTGGTGTGGAAGAAAGTGGTGCGTGCGATGCTGTTGACGGGAGACTTGACCTGCTGTCGCGCATGGATAACGTGCACTCGGAACGCATCTACTGCACTGCGGCTGAAAAACTAACTAACTCATCAACCCATTAAACGCTTCAAACACATTTCGCTCATTTGTTATACGCCAATTTTTAAAGTAATCATGATACTTTTACATTGATTTGCACTTTATCCGCGAGTCTTAAAAAAACTGTTCTTCTTGTTTTTTCATGCAAGACAAGACGTGCCTAGCAGCAAATGCAGGTGCACTCCGCTTTCTCGGAAAAAAAGATTTGAGTATATGCTTAATAGTGCAGTTTACGAACTAGACTTCTCAGCGTAATTTCACCATTGAACCGCTCCTATCTTAACTCATTCGTTCATATTCAGATTAATGAACTTGGAAATCGCCAAATTTATACCACACTGTGTTTCAACTCACCCGATGTCATTTCGGAACATTCGTGAGATGAGGATCTCCCCCTTGTGGTTGTACACAAACACCCCGCCGATCATTCCGAACTGAAAGCAAACTCGGTAAATTAAAAACAAAATAAACATAAATAATAGCCAACTTGTGCTTCCAATCGTTAACAATAGCTAACCTGTGCTAATTATAAGCAACTCGTTTTCACCCAGTTTTTCAACATAAAGTAAGTTTAAACTCTCAGCTTAAAATACAAAAACCTACCTGGTAACTCGAATACTAAGATTACATGGCTGCTTTTGATCATTTCACTTACTTAAAAACATTGGTTAAAATGAAAATATACTTCTATTCTTCTAGTTATACGAGATAGGCTGTGATAAAGAAATAGAGAGAGTTAACAGTTCAGCATATTAAAAAGTGTCACATATTATATTAAATCACCCCGTTCAGCGTGGGAGAATCCTTTATGGCAAGAGGGCGAAAGACAAAAATATATTAGCCAATCAGAATCCAACTGTCGCAAATATGAGCGAAGAAGTATCAAAGCAGTCAGAATTTAAATCAGTTTAAAGATACTTAATCGGCTGAAATTTTTCGGCTTTTGGTTCTTCTGCCATGAAAGTAGACCCCGTTGACATCACAACTAATCTATACATCTAGTGGACACATTAGACAGGAAGCAATATAGCAGTTCAGCAACAACAGAGGTAGGAACATACGCAAAGTCGGTTCGCTTAAAATAAGCCTAGTTTTTATCACGATGAAGCAATACTGAGCTGACAAGAATTTTACTTGTTCGCTTTCGATCACAAATTTACAGGCACTTGAGATATACATTTAGAGGTACATTTTGCTACTTACAACAAAAAAACTCCAATGAATGATTTTTTTGTAAACTTGTTACACCTTTCAAATTAGCATTTAACATGTTTTGTTTCATTGTCAATCGACAGATAACTACACTTTTAAAATTTTTTGTTAAGTAGCAAGTTTTCAGAGTTTTTTTACACAAATTAGAGCTTTTCACTTATCGCCAGCACCGGAATCAGCACCTCCGATTCTTGTCTCTTTCAACAAACTTGGCAACTCTTGATCTTTGAAAGCCTTTTCTGCGTCTGCTTTCAACTGATTGTACAATACTGGATCCAAAATTGACAATTCATTTTTGCATCTTTCACAAAACGCCTCGAGAGACTTAAATGCGCCAGGGATATCAATGGCCAAGTCAACAATTTCTTCAAAAACTCGCTTCAACCCACTTTCAAATTGGGTCAATGTAACTAGATTGGAATTTGTAAGCTCCCCTAGAAGCTTAAAATTCGCTTCAATTGTTGCATTTTGTTTCGAAAATATAGCACATGATGTCGCGCTGACAATTGAGTTTTCTTCCAGGCACTTGACAATGATTTCATACACAATCTCGTGGTGGAAATGTGGAATTCCCAGCTCATGCAACAAATAAGTCACGTTGTCAAAGTCGTACGAATCTTGATATTCTACAATCATGGTCTTGATTTTCTTTACCAAGTGTTTCACTGGTTTACGATCAACAGCATTCCAGATGCTGTCCAAACGTACTAACCCGTGTTTCATTGTAATCAAGCCATGGGCAATATGCAATGCCTCTTTCGCTTTCGCTGAAAGATTTTCATCTGCGTGTTGGTTAACAAACTTAGGGGCCAGACAATCATCAGCTACGCATCTGGCCATGAACTTGCCCAGCATTGACTGCGCTTCAGGGCAGTCCAGACTAATATCATCAAGTTCAGCTAAAAACTCGTTAAACACCTGTTCAATGTCTTTGTCTAAAAGTACGTGATATCCGTACAAATCTGATATGAGAACTGATACAGCCTCCAATTTGGAGTTTGAGGTTGTATCAAATGCGAGGTAAAGGGCTTCCTTCGCAAACAAGTAATACATAGTACCAACTATGTTCATCTCTGATGCTGAATCTGCGACATCATCTGTATCACCGTGTTCAAAATATTCCACTATGATATCCTTTATGAGCGGTTTTGCTTCCTCTGCGGACAGCATGACCTCGATTCCTACAATTTTTACATCCTTGCCTTCGTTTTCGCTGTCATAATTTGGATCATTTTTGTCAACAGACGATTCCTCGCAAAGGTCCATAGCTCCTCCGGGCTTACCCCAAGTACCTTTACCTCCAGCACCTCCTTTCTTTGGCATGCCTCGGCCCTTTCCTGTTCGAGAACGCCTTTGATTTTTCTCGAGATCACGCTTACTCGAAAGTAGTTCTGCTCGGACGTTCTGATCATGAATTGATCGAGAAGCCATGTTGTCGGTTGAACTTTTATTCGGTATCTCAGTAGGTTTGCTAGTATCAATCTGAATTCTCCGCTTGTTTCGCTCCTTAACCCGCTCTTTGTGTGGCAGCTGCTTCGAAGCTTTCGAATCCATCCTTTCCTGAAAAACGGGTTGATGATAAAAGAAATCAAACATGGTCGGTTGCGCTGCAGGTAGCACAATCTTTCGTTGAGTAATCATCAATGCAAAATAGTAATTGGCAGCTAGATAGGAATTGACATTAAGCTTCAACTATTGAACATTTTTTTTATTTTTCGGAAACGTGTCATAAAAACATGTCGTAACCTTGAACGCTTTCAAGAACAATCTGGACAAATTGTGCCATTCTGCCAGATGGCACAGCGCAACCTTCCGACGAAGCACGAATCAGAGAGAAAAGGCCTTAACAGCAAAAAAGTGTTTGAAAGGAGGGTCGAAGTATTCTGAAATATTCTATTTTCAAAATTTCGATTTTCAAGTTGATATTTCTCAGAAATACGAAAAACGGCCATTTTGACCAAGAAAGCTGAAAAAATAAGAACAACGACAAATATTGTGAAAAACAGTCGTGCAAGAGACGGAGAATACGAAGCCTCTCATCGTGGCAGCAACGCACGATAAGACCCTTATCAGCGGATATTAGTGGAGAAGGAAGCTTCGGTGGGGGAGGAATATTCCACGGAACCCTCCCGGGACGCAAATTAGAAGAGATAAGAGCGTTATCGCAGGAATATTACGGGAGCGGAGGCTTGGTCCCCCAGAGACTGTTTTATGTGAAGGGACTGTATAAAACTGACTGTATAGCTACTTGGATGTCGTGAAACTTTAAATTGACACCGGTATAGTTTGATATTTTAGAATATGAGCAGCTAGAATGAGGAAAGGGTCAATCCATCTCCAATGGATTTAATATAGAACTGTCACACAAAAACATGTTAAAATAGGTTGTTCGAGCCGTGTTTTTAATGACAATCACGTAGTCTGAGGATCCGAGACTCAGCTATGTGGTTGTGTTCGCATTTAAACGAAAGCTGATCAAAAGTCGTTTGACTGATGGCCTAAAAATAGTAACTTTTTACTTAGCCCTAAACAGACCAGAAAATCAACTGGCAAGGTCGAGACGGTGAAAAACGAGTAGGATTAAGGTAACTGACGCCTGCCAGTCGTTAATAGGTACTTTTTCTACGCTCCGTCGCTGTGTAGTATTTGGGCGAATGTTACATAGACGTTTTTATGGCGCTCCTGTGTGGGCCTGTCAAAAGCATAAGACCATCATGATCAGCAAGCGTTTCAGCGACGAACCCTCCGCTCCGGTCGTAAGCCCGAGGTAGAGGCCTTAATGACCTTCGTTGTACTGGGGGGAAGGTGCGTACCCTCCGTCCAGTACTATTTAGCTTTTTAACTTAGTTAACACCGAAAATTCCGGGGGCCAGAGGGTTAGGTGGGAAATCTAAAGCCCGCTTGTCCTGAGGTCCCAGGACCAAAAACAATTAAAGAGAAAGCGTAAAACCAAACAAAAATAGTGTATAACCAAGAAAAAGCCAAAAATAAATTTATTTGAAAACAAAAAAGTACAAAAAACAGTAAAAAATCCAAAAAAGACCAAAAACAGTAAAAAACATAAAGTGACAGTTTATATGTTATTTCCGGACGAGATGTGATCTGACCTTCCTATTTGTTGTTGTTTCAGATTGATTTATATCGTTTCTGATAGAAAGATTGTGTGTTTTGGTGAAGGGTTGGATACCCTCCCTCGAGTGTAATTTGAGTGTTTAAGCACGTTAATGGTGATTTTGCCGGTGACCGGAGCGTAGAGCGGCAAGCTGATCAACGTGTTCCATACTCAACAGGGACATCAGGGACAACATCCGCAACGACTGTTGGGTATCGTTGAAGCAATTTTAGTATCGTTCGGGTACTATTTCATTAAAACTTAAGTGGTGGGGGGCACGATTGGCGCGGTCCGATTGTACCCTCCATCGATTACAAATTTCCGAGTTAAGGGTCTTAATTCGGGTATTTTGGTGCAAAGGAGGGTATAGTACTATTCATTAACGACTACTAATAGGTTATTATCCTTATTACATATTACTTATCTCCTCAATTAGACCCAAAAAACACCCAATTTTGTCGAAAATCATCGATTTTCGATCAAACTGTAGACCCCCAAATTTTTGGATATCCGAGCTTTTCCGAACAACAAAAAGCTTTTATATAGGGAGTAGCTACGTAGTTCGATCCCCCTAACTAAAGAAACCGCGTGAGAAAAGACTCATTAGAAGTTGGAAAAAACCAAATCTTTTCGGTCAAAATTTCGATAATTTTCTGAATTTTGTCAATGTGTTTTGGGGATCGAGTTTTTAAGTTTTTAGAGTTAGAGCAATAAAATTTTTTGCGTTAGGAGCGTGGTAGCATAACGTGCTCGGTTATTAGAGAAATTCTTGAGTAACTCCCCGATTGGCTCCTTGGATAGAGCTAACGACTTAAGGATTGGAAAAGGAAGGAACCGGAGGGTCCGAATTTGATAGTTATTGGCCAAATTTTTGTCTCCAAACCAATTTTGATCCGGTTTTTTGCACTGTTCCAGTGCCGTACAGGGCTACTATGCTCGTTTCAATTATTTTTAGGCACTTTCGATAGGAATTGCGGAAAAAGTTTCTCAGAACCTATATAGGTGGTAAAAAAAGGCCATTTGGACAAACACGTTTTTGGCAATTTCTCAAAGACTAGTCATCCGATCGGGGTAATTTTGGTACCATAAGTCGACGTTTTGGACCACTTTTCCGGACCGCAACCGTTTTTGGGTTGATAATCTCGGAAAAGAAAAATTTTTAGAATTTGTTGTTTCGGAGGGTCCAAATTACAGGTAACCCTCCGAGCGGCGGAAAATTTTATCAAAACACCTTTTTATCCAACTGGGAAGGTTGACCGTGTCAACCAACCTAGTTTTAAGTCAGGTAGACCGCTTTTGGAGACTTTATTGCGGTAACATAACCTTTTTTCTTGATTTTTGGGGAACCCTCTGAGGTAACCCTCTGGAGTCAGCTAAGGTCCTTAGCAACCCTCCTTAGTGGAAAATTTCCACGAGGTTATCCAAAGAAGTTGAGACAGCCCTCCCATAGAGAATTAAGCTTGTTTTGACGCTTCCTGAAGTTAATTGAAGGCCCTTCTGAGTGAGGCTCAGAAATTTGAAAATTTTGGAGGTACCCTCCGAAGTAACCCTCCGGAGCATATTAAGCATCTTATTGACCCTCCTTAGTAAATTTAGGGGGACCCTCCGAAGTGACTTGGGTGATTAAGGTACCCTCCGAAGTAGGCTAAGTAACTTAACAACCCTCCGAAGTAACCCTTCGGAGTGTCTTAAACCTTCTAAACAACCTTCCTTGTTAGAAACTTGAGGAAATCTTCCGTGGCGATTTGGGAAACGGAAAATATCCATTTAATCGTAATCATATTAGGATATTAGGCGCTTATTAGGATCATAAGAGCCCATTTTGACCCGGAAATTCGTGATCAATTTTGGATTCTAGATCGGGTGTATCAGAAGTACCCGAACAAAAAATTTTTTTTGATTGTGATTTTGGTTGTGCGGTTGCCTTGAGCTAATTAATAGGAAAGTTCGGGCAATCCGGGAACAAATAAAAGAAGACCTCGGTGAGTGTATTAAGCAAATACACACTCACTTGAGAATAAAAGTTGTTCCCTGCTCTCGTGCACTTGGAGCGTTCCGGGTGTGGGGGAGCTTTTACATAGACTTTAGAAGTTTTCGATCAGAGATTGCCTTGAGCCACTTGATAGGACAGCTCGGGCAATCGCGGGGCACCTAACAGAAGACCTCGGTGGGTGTATTAGGCAAATACACACCCGCTTGAGAAGACTGTGTCCTGGGCTTTGTTCTTTCGGATCGATCCGATTGGGGGAAGTCTTTTTCTTTAAGACTAAGTTTTATTGATCTGTTTCTGAATCATCACTGCTTTTTATCAAAGATTGTTTAATTTTAACAAAGCAGTGACTTGATAAATTGTGTGGCGGTAAATTGATACTGACAAAAGGTCGCTGTCACCTGTAGGATATTCTTACCTGATTATCTATTGTGTTTTGTGTGTTGATTATATCTTGTGAAAATCTTGTGATACTGTTATACTATACGACAGGGTTGAGTTAGCATTATATCAATACTGAGCAGGCCCTGTGTGTGTGTGTAACTCTAGCTGAGTCACCAAGATTGTCATTGAGAAACCTAAGAGATTGATACTGACTTTTCGACTTACAAATATTGTTTTATTGTGTCACAAAGTATGCAGCGCAGGGACTCGTTAGGATCGACTACTAAGATTCCCAGGCTGAGCAAGGGCAGCACGCAAAAATTTAAAACTTGGCGTAGCCAGTCCTCGTTTAGCAGCGCTTCCGACGTGTTTGCTGAAAACGAATCGACTAAAGGTCAACCTGATCTTTCAGTGAGCGGAATGAGATTGAGGAGCGAGAAAAACCTCGATGGCGATCAAAGGCGGAGCGCCGAAGCCGGAACCGCAAGCGAAACGCTTGTGGACCCCTTTGACGAGGGAGAACAAACGCTCATTCGACCCGACTTTGAGCCGAGCGAGGACCTCGATTGGGAGGAAGTCGAGAGGACAGAGGAGAGAAGTCGAGGCCTGGCTGGACGAATACAGTCCCGCCGGAGGCAGATGCCACCCCGGAGACAAGGTTGCCAACTGTGCCACAAGTCAGTTCAGTACCAGATCTGACTACAGTCTCACAGGATGTCCAAATCGGAGACTAAAAGTCACAGGTGGAGGGGAGAATACTCACATTCGGCTAGTACCCACTCATCTCTGGCCAAGCAGAGCAACAACGCGATGATGTCGAGTATAAGCCCGAGTGAAGAACAAACGGGTTCGAAGGCCAAGAAGAGTTGGAAGTCTTTGTACGACGAACGCATGGCGTCACTACCAACTGTAGGTTTGACTTCCAGTGATGACTACCCGGAGATAGCCCATCCGGATGTGAACTTCACACCGTGCCCAAGGAACGATATGAGCAGGAAGGCGTCGTCAACCTCGCCGACCAGGCCCATGTCAGATGGGATAACGATGGGAGCGTCATCAACCTTCGACAGATTAATGACGTCGATGAGCAAGCAAAAAGGCGGTGCGTCATCAAGCACCAGGCTGCAGCCGCAGTTGACCTCATCTT